TGCTAACAGCACATGGTAAAAATTATCTGAGCAAGGATTTTGTGGCCAGATGATAAGAAAGTTACTGTCACTTCCAAATTTAGCTCATGTGAAGAACATCCTGAAGGAATTTGAACAAAGAAAGTCTATAACATTTTTGTTGAAAAATTAACATGAAAATATTTAATTTTCAAGGAGAACTTGAATGTTGGCAAAATTTACATTCAGCTCTTTTAGTGGGTACCTTTAGTCATGAACTCCAGTTTATTTCTGGAAAATGAATTCACTAGATGTCTAATTAGCTGTCGAATAAATGAGCATTCACTACTTGAAATACTTCTCATTTTGATCTTTTTATTCTATTCATTACATGTGAGCACCTCTTAGAATTTGGAAAAGTTTCAATTTCATAAACTTAAAGGATCAGTGACATTGGTTTTTGCGATCCAATATAACTTACAGGCAGGTGCTTCTATTAAAGTTTCAGTAATCCTGATACTCTTCAGCAGTGCTTAGAATTTGGTAATCCTTTCATCTTAAAATATGTACAGATTTATGTTTTAACATGAAACACCTGAATAGGGCTAAATTTAAGCTTGCAGCTACCATTTTGTCTAAACTGATTTTAGAAAACTGTTAGTTGCTGCCTCTTGAAACACTAAAATCCCAGGCAATTAACATACATTTGATATTGCAGAATCATATCACATGCATAAAAAGACAGCTGTAGTTTTAATTTTAAAGGTAATTAGTGCTTGTACAGCCAGAAGATCACTCTGTCTTTGTTAGGTTACAGATATGTAAGATGTTAAACGCCATTTTATTTCCATCTTTGCCGACCAGCTACACTTAATATGGATGTATATTGTCGTCCCCAGCATCTATTTCTACCAGTCTTGAAAACTCATGAAGTTTTTCTCTGCCAATACTGTGATTTGAGTTAAAAATGAAGTGGACTACAAAGAAAAAAAGATTGTCCGTCTATTATTATTTGGAGTAAACTAAGTGCCATAATCACAAATAGATATGAAAGCTCCCTTTAGCTGGCATTCTGCTAAATAAAAGTTAAACGTTGATTTTATTTAAATACCAGTAGACAAGGTTGACAAGGAGTTTCGCAGCTTGTTTTTTTGTTCAACCAGAGGTTTCCCCCCCCCCCCCCCCACTGCTAAAGACCCCTACCACAGAAGCAAATTTATTGCTTGTAAAGTACCCTAAGTTTATGGTGAGTGGATGTTTGTTCTGCTCTCTCTCTCCCTCCCTCTCTCTCTCTCTCTCTCTCTCTCTCTCAGGTGGGGGTCATATGTATTTGTTTTAGATCATAAGGTCTGTCTTGAGTTGAGTGGCAGGGTTTCAATCTCAGTCTTGTATGTGGTAAGGAGTAGGGTCACCTGCACAACCTTGGTGGTTTTTCTCCAGTTTCTTCCCACTGCTAATATGACCAAGTGAATTATTAAGATAAAATTGTACCAAATTACCTGGTTTGTCTTGTGTGTATGGGGGGGTTGGATGGCCGAATGGTTAGCACGTGTGCGCTGTATCATACGGTCTGTCATTGAGTCAACTGGCAGGGTTTCGATTCCCCGGTTGTACGTGACAAGAAGTAGGGTCGCCTGTCCAACCTCGTGGGTTTTCTCCGGGTCCTCCGGTTTCCTCCCACAGCTAAAGACCCCTACGCGCAAGCGAATTATTGAAATAAAATTAAATCATGTGTTAGTCCCGAAATGACCTAGTTTGTGTCGAGTGGACGTTAAACCCCATTTCTCTCTCTCTCTCTCTCTCTCTCTCTTGTGTGTATGATCGGTTGGCCCTATATCTCTTTCTTTTTGGATGAGACATTAATTATTAAATAAATTTCTGGAGCACCAATTTACACTGAAGATGAGTGATAAGCACCACCATACTGAAATGAAAATTCTGGAATTGTTGACAAAGTTGATATGTTCCATTTCACCATGGTTTTAATATAATTTATACCACACTTTAAAATTTGGAATGAATTCAAATGAAGCATGCAACATATCCTTTGTTTTTTGACAAACAGAACAAGTTTAAAGATGTTCTGTGTTAGCCATAAAAAAATTCTGTCTTGAAAAATACCATACTCAATTACTATTCAATCTAACAAACTCACACTTTAAATTTTGGAATTCATTCAATTTCTTTTCATTAACAGAAGTACATATCGGCCATCTTTCTTTTTATGACACAATTGAAGCAGAACCAGATGTAGAATTTGGCACCCCTGGTTAAACAATGGCCACCGTCTCTCGTCTTCTGCACCTTCAGTTTACCTGTTGTTTATTCTTGTAATTACTCATTATCGGCAACTTCCTGTTATGTATACTTACACATTTATATCAAGTATACCATATGTATATCATCAACAACCATCCCATTCATCTTCTACCTACTCACCATACTATTCATCCATTGATTAATTTTTTTTTTTTTTCAAAATGTAATATTTCAGTTTTGTTGTTTATTTTAAAAAATCGTGCTGGCTTGTGTGTATTTTAGGAGATGACATTTATAACATTTGGTATTCGGTTGTTTGATGATCTAACTCTTGGTTTAAAGCATGAAATGACATTTAACCCGTAACAGTTGGAATTCAGTTGTATGAGCAAAATTTCCCTATTAGCACACCGCACGCCGTATGCCCATCTTCATTAGCCTTGTTCCAGCAGAAAAGTAGGACATTAAACCCCACTTCATTCATTTCCTCTTTTACTTTCACTCCAATGTGTAATCTGTGGACCTTGGGTTTTCGTCCCATCTGAACAAATACCTGGTAGACACTTTTTCTTTTGCCCCCAGGCTGGAAAGTCCTGAGGAATTTTCTTGCCCATCATGGGGTTAAACCACGGACCAAATGGGATGAGATGAAAAATCGAAGCCCTGTGTATACTTCGGTGTACACCGTAGCGCCACTGGCCAGACAAAATTTCCCTCATAGCAGACTATATGGTGTACTGTATACCCATCTTCATAAGACCAGTTGGTGCAGAAAAGTAGGATGTTAAATCCTATTTCAAAGTCTATGTGAAATGCTGATACAAAATGGGATTTGCAATTCTGTTATAATCTGGTTGTTACATCTACGTTTTATCTGTGAAACAATATAAATGTTTGTGGAACCTGCATGTATATAATTATAGACTAAAGAAATTCCAGATGGAAAAACTTAACCCTTTACTTTATTAGTTTTATAACTAGAACTTACATAAATATTTATTCTATTTTCAAAGTAAGAGAGATTCTTGAGATTTTCTCGTCCATAGAAGTCTCTAGATGGCCATTCTATAGAATATAATATAAATATTTGTAAAAATTGCACAGTTCTGCACCTTGACTGATATAAACAGGTAGACATATTAGAAATAATTATATACATATATATCCAACTTGTATTTGGAAGTGATCATTATTCTGATTCTTCATCGTTCATAGGATCCACGGTGGCTCAGTGAGTAAGATGTTGACTCACCAACCTGGAGGTCCCTTGATCGTTCCCTGCGTTGGCCGAGAAAGTTCATTGTTAGTCCTGTGTTTGACCCCTGTGTTGACCGAGAAAATTCATGGGGATTTTTCTGTGTGGTTCCCCATTGTCAGTGGTACAGGACAGATGGCCTGGTAAGGGACAATGCATAGTTGTTCGGATGGGATGAGGGGGGTTGGATGGCTGAATGGTTAGCGTGCGCGCGCTGTATCATAAAGTCTGTCATTGAGTCGACTGGCGTGGTTTCGAATCCCCGGTTGTATGTGACAAGGAGTAGGGTCGCCTGTCCAACCTCGTGGGTTTTCTCCGGGTCCTCCGGTTTCCTCCCACTGCTAAAGACCCCTACGCGCAAGCGAATTATTGAAATAAAATGAAACCATATGTTAGTCCCGAAATGACCTAGTTTGTGTCGAGTGGACGTTACACCCCATTTCTCCCTCTCTCTCTCTCGGATGGGATGAAAAAACAGAGGAACTGTGTACATATTGGCATGCACATAAAAGATCCCTTGGCAGTTGGAATTCAGTATAACTGTAGACCATAGTACTGCTGTCCGGGCAAAATTTCCTTCATAGCACACTGTTTGGCGTATTCTTGTTTTCATTAGGCCATTCAGAACAGCACAGTAAGACATTAAACCCCCTTTCATTTCATCATTCATTTCTATCATCTCAAATAAAAAAGGAATGCCATATACTCACAGAAAATACTGTAGGTTCAAGATATTTTTTGTGTTTTCAGAATTTGTTATCTTGAATTTTTTTAACTATCATTACTAGAGAAAAAAAAATTCAGATATTTCTTGCGTGTACAGAATTTTTTTTCCTTGAATTTTTTAAAACTGTTATTACTAGAGAAAAAAAGTTCCTGATATTTCTTCAGAGACATAACTCATTCTTTAAATTGTCAACATGAGCAAATGCTAATCACTTATATTTCAAACTTCTGTCTTATTTTTGAAAGACAAAATTAACAATATTTCATCAACAAAGTTCATGTGTGGCATGTTAAATCTGATATAAAAGTGCTTTAAGAAGTATTTAAAATAAAAAAAAATGATGCTAGTAAAAAGATGAAATTATGGCAGATGAAAGATGATTTTGTTTTCTTACAAATTTTGTTAGTGACTTGATGACTTTCAGATTGAAAAATACTGTTGTCATAATCCATATTTTCTCACCTTAAACAGTTCCCATTGAAGGATGAGATTACAATCACTTGCACAAAATATTCTGTTTTTAGTTTTATCAGAATCTCTTTTATATTTTAATCAGTGACAGGTAAGCCTGGAAATAAGGCAACTGTCACAAATATTGTCAGGCACAAGTCTTGGATTTGTAAGAGACAGGTTCCTTTGGCCATTTTGTCTGACTGATATTGAATTTGCACTGTATTTATTGATATTATTAACACAAATAAACTTATAAAATCTCATGAAATTTTATTTTGAAACCAATTAAAAGAGGTCTAGTCATTTTTTTTAGCTGCAACTTTACTTTTAAATTTGTTTTCTTTACAGAAAAGATATCCATAGTCTTTATCCTAATAAATATGTTCAGATGGATGAAAAAAGATTCCGTATTTTTAATACCCTTTATGAATTACCTGGTAAGTAACATTACACATAGTACTTTGATAATACTCTTTATGAATGACCTAAGTAAGATTTCACATAGTACTTTATGAATTACCAGTTAAGTAAGATTTCACATAGCACTTTATGAATTACCAGGTAAGTAAGATTACACATAGTACTTTACGAATTACCAGGTAAATAAGATTACACCTAGTACTTTATGAATTACCAGGTAAGATTACACATAGTACTTTATGAATTACCTGGTAAGATTACACATAGTACTTTATGAATTACCTTGTAAGTAAGATTACACCTAGTACTTTATGCATAATCTGGTAAGTAAGACTACACATAGTACTTTATGAATTACCTGGTAAGTAAGATTTACACCTAGCACTTTATGAATTATCTGGTAAGTAATATTACACCTAGTACTTTATGAATTACCTGGTAAGTAAGATTACACCTAGTAGTACTTTATGAATTACCAGATAAGTAAGATTACACGTAGTACTTTATGAATTACCTGGTAAGTAAGATTACACATAGTACTTTACGAATTACCAGGTAAATAAGATTACACCTAGTACTTTATGAATTACCTGGTAAGATTACACATAGTACTTTATGAATTACCAGGTAAATAAGATTACACATAGTACTTTATGAATTACCTGGTAAGTAAGATTACACCTAGTACTTTATGAATTACCTGGTAAGTAAGATTACACCTAGTACTTTATGAATTACCTGGTAAGTAAGATTACACCTAGTACTTTACAAATTACCAGGTAAATAAGATTACACCTAGTACTTTATGAATTACCAGGTAAGATTACACATAGTACTTTATGAATTACCTGGTAAGATTACACCTAGCACTTTATGAATTACCTGGTAAGTAAGATTACACCTAGCACTTTATGAATTACCTGGTAAGTAAGACTACACATAGTACATTATGAATTACCTGGGTAGTAAAATTACCCATAGCACTTAGATAATTTTGTAGAACATTTAAAGTCGCTGATCATTATTTGTATTTTGGGACAATATCTTATATTTCATGGTACAATTTACTATAATTGATTATTCAACATTTAATGAAGAAAGCAATATCAATGGCATCTTCAATAGAAGGCTTGATCTCACTTTAACTCTGTACATCTTATCAAGGCTTTCACATAATACTCTACATTTATTGTCAATAATTTCGATTGGTCATGGACCCAGCTCAAGACCTTATAGATTCCTTGATAGAAAACATCATTGCGAGTACCAAGTCTTGCGCTTTCCAACTGAAATGTTTAGTTGAAAAGTTCAAGGTTCGTTCAATGTCAAGGTTGCTGGAACCTTTTTGCTATGGTTATGCTATGATTCACTTTACATCTTAGTCCAAACCCTTCTAATTTACTTTGTTGCTCTTCCATTGTGCTATATAAAAGTTGGTTTTACGTGAGTTTTTCAACTAAAAAAAAGCTATCAACAGTTGTAAACGAATCTATTGAGTTATGTGTTTGAATCACGTCTGTGATAAAGGGAGATAACATACCTAAAAGGTTGTTAATTTCGCGTTTGCTGCTTCAGGAACATGTATCAATGGTAGATAATCGCCCAGCTTGGATTTAAATGAGGCCCACCAAAAGATTCATCGAAAATTAGAAGTGGCACTGGCTGGATTTGACCATATCCTATATATTGCATGCAGTGGATGCCAAATATTGTCAAATTTTTAATTCATCATATCTTTATAAATACTGAATAGAACTGAACCATTAACCTTTTAGAGATACAACCTTCACTTGGTGATAATATAAACAGTTTCTGTATCCAAACATAGTGGTTTATATTGCAATAAAGTCTTTTATTTTCACAGACACTTTTCATATAAAATAATATTTTTTTTAAATTTAGAATTAAATTGGATTGACATATCGTACTTAATAAATGAATTTGAATTAGATAATACAAATGGAACATTAAAATCGAAATAAGATTTAGTCATACCACCTTTGTCCGGAAACAGTTTCATTCATAGCACACTGCATGGCAAATGCATTAGCCAGGTTGTTGCAGAAAAGGGGGTCACAGTGGCTAAGTGGGTAAGACGCTGGCTCGCCAGTCTGGAGGTCGGGAGTTCGATCCTTGCATTGGCCGAGAAAGTTCATCCAGATTTTCCAGCGAGGTTGCCCCTTGTCAGTGATGCAGGGCAAAAAATGAGGTCCTGTGTACACATTGGCGTGCTCGTAAAAGTTTCCTTGACAGTTGGAATTCGTTATAAGTGTAGGCCATAGTGCCACTGTCTGGGCAATATTTCCCTCATAGCACACTGTATGGCGTATGCCCGTCTTCATTAGCCCAGTAGGAGCAGAACAGTAGGGCATTAAACCACATTTCATTTCATTTCATGTTGAAGAAAAATAAAATCCTATTTCATTTTATTTTTATTGTCTGTTTATTTTCAGTTTTATACATTTTGGCCTGTTTGGTAGATTACTTCAGCAATTCTCCAGATTATACACCTAGCAGGTAAATATCATTTTATCTCCATTAGGAAGTTTTTGTAAATCACTACTAACGCCTACTAACACATAACTGAAAATATGAAGGGAAGTAAAGGTGATAAGTGAAAACATAAAGGGAAGTGTAAATATAAATGTTAAGGAAAGTGATAAGTGTAAATAAAAATGTGAAAGGAAGTGTTCAGTGTAAATGAAGTGATAAGTGTAAATGAAAAGGGAAGTGATTAGTGTAAATATGTGAAAGGAAGTGATCAAGTATAAATATCAATGTAAAGGAAAGTGATAAGTGTAAATGTAAATGTGAAAGTAAAGTGATAAGTTTAAATGTAAATGTGAAAGGGAGTGATCAAGTGTAAAAATAAATGTGAAAGTAAGTTATAAATATAAATGTGAAAGTAAGTTATAAATATAAATGTGAAAGGGAGTGATCAAGTGTAAATATTGACTACTTGGTTCCTGAAAACTTTTTTTTTAGAGAAAATGATGTTACTTACATTGAGATATGTAACTCATTTTTGAAACTAGCCTAAACTTCCGCTCTCTGGACCCCATGAAGCCATCTGAATCAAAGATCCTAAGAAACAATTCACAGCTATCCCCCTAAGCTTGGGCAGTTTGAAATTCTACAGGAAACAGTAGTTTCTGGTGGTTTCAAGTGATCCAAGTACCAAGTATATATTTCAATATGAGAAATAAAAATCCATGTAGAGAAAGAGTTCATCAGTACATCTGTTAATTTTAATCTTATCACCAGAGTAGTTGTAGACAGACAGATTAAAGCCAGATGTATCATTTACCTGATGCCAAGCTTATTGCTTCTGACAACAAAATGATATTTTTTATGGTAATATGATAAATTTATATGATAGTTGAAGCAATAAAAGCATTATCAAAATTATTTAAACTTTGACAATGATATGTTTTAAGAATAGAAAAGTTTATCAGAAGTTTAAATTGGTTTGCAGACTGCAGGGAGCACAGATTTGGGTTGTCAAGAAATTGGACAAGACAAACCTATCATGTAAATTTGGGCAGTGGTTGCACTTCTATCTATTCTCATATGAAAACTTTTGTTGAGAGCTTAGGGGTAAAATTAAAATAAACCCAATATTCCAATTTATGGTACCAAGACTAATATTCCAATATTCACTAATATTATCAACATTCATATCCTTTGGTATATATGTGGCTGAATCGGTGTCTGTTGATATTCTGGAAAACATAAAGAAGTTTGGGCCCTAGAACCTCTGCACACCTGCCTCCCTAAATCAAATAGTTCTGTATGTCTATGCTGACAAAAACCCGATATTTCGTCCAGTCGGTGTAGAAAAGTAAGACGTTAAACCCCATTTCATTTCATTTCTTTTTTAACTTGCCATAGATAAAAAGTTAAATGTAATCAGATTTGAACAAGCATGTCTCGAAAAAATATAAATGACTTTACACTAAATTAAACTTAGATTTAAACTTTAAGAGATAAAATAGATTAGGAACAGATTGTTATTTATATCATATACCTCACTACAAAAACCAAATAAAAGATAAAAGACATGAGAGATAATAAGGAACATTTATATAAAATCCAACTGTCTTTTTGTCCAATTTATGTCATTGTATTCTGTAATTCACTTCATGCTTAATATAAACATGGCTGATTTTAATTTAATTATTTCTAAAAAAAAAAGCAACTTGTTTTATAATTAAGGGAAGCCATTGTGTGGCTGTGTGAGTATGGCATTGCCTCACTTACTAGGAGGTCTCAGGTTTGATCCCTGTGTTGGTCAAATAACTAAGTTAGAAATCAAAATAAGAGTTGGCTCTAGTGCTGCATTGCATATATGGGTATTTTCATTAGGCAGGTTGGTGTCGAAAGATAAGTTGTTGAAGCTACAGATTTTCATTTGCATTTTTCAGACAATATCTAATTCTTTAAGGCTTAATCTACATTAAAGATGCATTATGTAAGAGCTTAATCTGCCTATTGCAGTCTTTATTTTGGCTTAAAATGTTATATAAATTATTAATTAGACATTTATTAACGTGACAATCCTATAATCAACTCTCGAGACATTTTCAATATATTCATTTTATATTAACTATTTTTGAACTATTATAGCAAGAATGTTACAAAATCTTCTATTCAACATATGTTTGTAAATACTGAATGGAATTGAAACATTTTTTTGACTGATATGGAATTGAAACATTTTTTTGACTGATAAGTGATATTGAATTGAAACATTTTTTTGACTGATATCCCTTCTTTCGTCTGTTCGTGGGGTTTTCCGTTTGCTTTCACCTTGAGTCATATTTGGCAGACAAATGATATTCCTTTTAAAGGTTCAACTTTTGTAGTTTGCAAGAGATTCAAAACCCCTGAAAATGACGATCAGCAATTTAAACCTCATTTCTTTTCATTTAATTTTGAATTAACTACTACTACCCAAAAAATAATTTCAACATCAGAAACAATTAAGAACGTTGGATAACCACATGCCATGAAAATGTCTGCTCATTACTTAGGTTGTAATATAATGTTTTTTAAATAAATAAAAACATAGCCTATCATTAATCAAATAGAATACATTGTTTTAGGATTACTCATCACAAAATTACATGGTAAGATTAAAATAGCAAAAATAGTTTAATTCTAATGGAATGATGTTACCATAAGTAAATACATTTACACTAGTCATGACAGGGAGATTGGGTGGCTGAATTGTCTATCATGTGCACTTTAGATAAAATGGTCAGTCATTGAGTCAAGATATATGGTTTCAATCTCCAGTTTGTACGTGACAAGGAATCTGGATCCTATGGATTCCTCCAATGGCTAAAGACCCCTATGAGCAAGCAAATTATTGAAATAAAATTGAACCATATGCTAGTATGTGTCCAGTGGATGTTAATCCACATTTCTCTATCTCCCTATCTCTATCTCTCGCTTGTAAATGAACGATGTGGAATATTGTTTAATTCTTGTGTATTCTTGTTTATTAGAAATATATTTTCCAGACCAAATAAGTTTTGTGGGTCACTAGATTACCTTAGTATCTTCAAGAGAGAGGGAGAAATGGGATTTAATGTCCTTTCAACACAAACTAGGCCATTTTGGGACTAACATAATATGGTACATTTTTATTTGAAAATATTACTAGTGCTTTTTTTAGCATGTAGACCAGCTTTTTCCTTAGACTTATATGGCCGTCTCAATGAATCGGCATAAACACCAGCTTCAGGTAGCTTTGGACCTGTGCAGTAGATTAAACTGGCTTGGCTTATAGCTTATTATATTTATAGTATAAGCTACCCTGGTTTAAATCTAAACTAAATATAAGCGTCTGAAAACCTGGTTGGAATTAATTAGGTCATGTTAAATTTTTATTTTTACCTTCAAACACGTGAAGACATTTATCTCTATGGAATGGAAAGAAAAAAAAAACATTAATCCATTAGAAGAAAAGTAATTTATCTTTAGACATCTCAGCTTCAGCTCCATCAATTACAAAATCTAAATATCAGACAGAGAAATTAAACAAAATAATAGATATGTTGGCAGTTTTAGATAAGGTTTTGGCAATAAACCATGTAAAACGTGCTGTGGAGGGGGGAGAACTGTTGTAAATACATACAATTATACCAACAATCTGTCTATATCAAGCTCCATTAAAGTCTCTGATCCAGGGATGCTGTTTCAAAATTTTGCACCTCAGACATTTTTAATTGTGGTTAACAGAGGTCAGAATTGTGTCACAAGAAGTAGTCTGCTTCAGGAAATAGGGTAAATAAGCTTCCATTCCCTTTAATGGACTTCCAACTACAAATATTCTGATTAATGTTTATGATTAGTACAAAAAATTAGGTGCACTTGGCTATTTTTCATATTTAAATCCTGTACTGGCTTCAAGTTCATGTCAGTAATATTCATCAATAATTAACTCATGATATTAAGCATCATTGTTTCATGCATTCTGAATCCTTTGTATACTACAGCATTGTAAAAGATGAATCTCTAAAAGGTATATCATTCTAAAACTTGGAGCCGCGGTGGCTAAGTGTGTCAGACCCTGGCTGGCTAGCCTGCAGGTCGCATGTTCGATCCCTGCATTGACCGAGAAAGTTCATCAGGATTTTTTATGACGTTTCCCCTTGTCAGTGGTGCTGCAGGACGGAGGGACTGACAAGGATAGCTGTCTAGTCGTGCAGATATTACGAAAAACTGAGGTCATGTGTATACATTGGCATGCACATAAAAGATCCCTTGGCAGTTGGAATGCGATATATGAGTAGGCAATAGTGCCGCTGACAGGGGAAAATTTCCCTAATAGCACACTGCATGGCATATGCTCGTCTTCATTAGCCCATTCGGAGCAGAATGGTTGGAAAACCCCATTCCATTCAGATCTTATACAAGATGTGACAAATTGAACATTTCACAATATTCAGCATATACTACATATTATATTGACAAAACAGCATTGCCAATTAAGCCCTTTGAATCCGAGAGATTATCTACCATTGATATTTGGATTTATTTTCTTGGATTATGCAAGATCTAAATCTGTCTATTTTAGATCTTTCTTTAGGCCTGAAATGTTATCTAAATTATTAATTAGACATTGATTAACTTATCCAGACCATAATCAACTCTCGATATCATTGCTAGCCTGCGATATTTATTGGATTAGGATCTGATTTGCTGCTCAACCTCCATTCAAGACTTTGTTTTTTTATCATGCCGACTTTAGTAATGATGATCGAGGCTAGGCCGAAAATTCACATTGCAAAATTCTCGGTTAGGAGTGTATCACTTTTTGACTGAAATTTTCAGTAAATTCCCATTACATTATCTGGTTTTTAACTATTATAGTGAGAACTGCCAGCTCTTTATCTAATCTCCCATAATGTGTCTTTAATTAAATGTTAAATAAACAATATGAGTACATTTTAGCATGAATTGAGCCTGAAAATTAGATATTGTCAAAAAATGCAAATGACAATCATTGGCTTTAACTAAATTTAGGAAGTGGCTTAATGTGGCCATGGCACAAAAATGTGACTTATTTCTTTACTGGCAAGCTTTTAAATGAGAGTACTATGATATTGGATCTTCTAGAAAAACTGTAACTTCAAAGTTACGAAACGAAGGAATTTTATTTACATAATTTATTTTCATAACTCGGGACATACAGCTGAGCTTTAAGTACATGTATTTTTGGTAAATTTCCAGAATGAGGAAATTACTATTTAAGTATTATTACACGGAAAGGAATTTACTATGAGCATTCCTGGACAGTTTGTGAGCAGGCCAACCACAATTTAATTACTATAACATAAAATTGCCCTCATAACCTCTTGGATTCAATAATCATATTGGTATTAATTTACTGTTTACGAGCGGTATTATCACCCCACCCTGCATTTATTGTTAAACGGATTACTGAGTTCTCTGTTGAAAAATAAGATGTTTTGGTTAATATCTTGATGTCTCATCAAGCAAGGAAAGAGTTAAAGTCGCATATTTTTACTGGTTTAATCCACCCTAAAATTTACTCAGTTTGATTATTCAAAGAGGCATTATTCAAGACCTAAATATGCCTATTGCAGGTCTTTCTTTAGGCCTTAAATGTTATGTAAATTATTAATTAGACATTTATTAACATGACAAGACCATAATCAACTCTTGGTGCCGTCATATGGCTCTGATTTTAAGTAGATTAGAATGGTTTGGCCATTTAATGATTTGAATTAAATATGGAGAAGCTAGGGCTCGAATAACCAGCACCGTCATTACTATAATAAACAATCAATACACACATCTTGTCAAAACTACAAACATTGATAACTTTGCTCAGAATAAAGTAATATGACTGAAATTTTCAATATATTCATTTTGCATTTTCTACTTTTGAACTAGTATAGCAAGACCGTCCAGCTCTTTATGTAAATTTTACGTAATATTTCTATAACATTTAATTAAGGAAACTAAACCCAAAATATCTATAGTAGGTAGTTGGTGCTGACTTGTTTTATCATATGCTGATGATGCCAAATGCTGCAAAAAGTTTCAAGGCTTAATCCACACTAAAGTGTACTAAAATTGATTATTTAACATTTAATCAAACATACATTATGCAAGAGCTAAATCTGCTTATTGTAGGTCTTTCTTTAGGCCTGAAATGTTTTTAAATTATTAATTAGACATTAATTAACTTATCCAGGCCATAATCAACTCTTGAGGACATTGGATTTCTCGTAAATTAAATAGATTATAACAGTTCAGCGATACTTTGATTTAAGCTAAAAATGGAGTAGTGAGACTTAGCTTAGGAAAACCAGTATGGTGGTTGAAATTATTGCACACGTCTTGTCAAACCATATCTTCGCTCGCAAAAGAGTAATTTGAATGAAATTTTCAAATTATTCATTTTACATTATCTATTTTCGAACTAGTATAGCAAGAATGGCTAGCTCTTTATCTAAATCTTACATAATGTATCTTTAAGAAAACTAAACAAAAATATCAATGGTGGATAATCTCCTGATTTAATCGGATTGAAACTACACTTATATAGGTGCTGCTGGTTTGTTTTATTGTCTGCAGAGGATTCTGAGTGGTTTTTTTACCCATGACATATGCCCATATTCATTAGCCGGGTTGGTATAAAAAAACTATGACATAAACCTCATTTAATCTCATTTTTTATTTTTGTAAATAAAATAAAATGAAATGAGGGTTAACATCTTAACTCTCTCTACACCTTGCCACATATTTTTGTATGCAAGAGGAATATTAAAACGGGTTTCAGATAACCGATTCAGGTCATGATGTCATAGAGTTAATGAAGAATATGTAAAATTTTAACTCAGTTTCATCAGAAGTTCAGCAATTATAAGAATAACCAAATGTTGTTAACATGAAAATATTAATTAAATTATGACATTGACATGAAAATCTTCATAAAATTCTGTTAAATTATTTTGTGAGTTACTTCCGGTAGAATCCATATAAAAATCAGAAAGAATTTGATGTTTTGGTGCCGTAATTTAAAACAAGATCTTAACGAGCTCATTATCTGTACAGTGTAAGCAGGTGATAGATGTGTTTGCATGTTTATTTATTTCCACATGCATTACAGCTCACATGCATGGTTATTTCTGTTCACCTGTTGCCAAACTTAATGTTTTGCAGTAGTTTTCAGCACACAGCATAATTAGGAAAATATATTTCCTTTTGTGCTGAAAGATTTTTTTTTTTATTAAATTAGGTTTCTTATCTCTCAAAACTGGCTTCATTGACTTTTCATTTTGGTTCAACGTTAGTATGATTATTATTGAAATTAGGGAAACATTTTCTTTTGTTCTGAAAGATCTTTTTTACATAATTCTGGCTTCTTTTTCTTTTCTCAGATTGTTTTGTCAAAATCTAGTTATTACAATTACCTAAGGAAAAGTTTAAAAACTGACTTCATTGAATTTTCTCTTCATTTTCTGTTAAAAACTAGTAGGATTATTATTAAAATTAGGGAAACGTTTCCTTTTGCACATAAATTACATAAATTAGGCTTTGTGCTCTTTTCTGCTAAAAGCTAGAAGCCGTTATGGATAAGTGGGTAAGATGCTGGCTTGCTAACCAGGAGGTCTCTGGTGTGCTCCTGGTGTTGGCAAAGGAAGTTCCTTAGGTTTTTCCAGCATGGTTTCCCCTTGTTTGTTACGTAGGACAAAGAGTTTGATAAGGAACAGTATCTAGTCTTTTGGATAGGACAAAAAATTAGGTCCCATGTACACATTGCCATGCATGCTTTGCAAAATTTGCGATGTAGCACATTGTAGGGCATATACCCATTGGTGCAGAAAAGTAGGACGTTGACCCTCACTTCTGTTAAAAGCTAGTAGAATTATTAATAAAATTCGGGGAACATTTGTTTGATTGTTATTTTTTACGTAAATTAGACATTTTTTGCCCTTGTGCCCTTGTGCTTCTTTCAAAACTGGCTCCTTTGACTTTTCTCAACATTTTTATTATCTCAAAAGTTAGTAGGATTATTATTAACTTTTTAACTTCAAATATTTTCTGTAGAATTTCAAGTTAAGACATTTTGGTTTAGGATAATATTTTCATAACAATGGATCTGGCTACAGCCTCTAAGTGGGAGATATTGATATATCTAAAGTCTTAAGAACTTTTCAAAGATTAAAAGATACCTAAAGTTTATTTTATTCAGCTAACTAAACAGATAAATGGGGTGTTAATTTCATAGTTCTTTAATAGTTAATGTTGAAAAATATCTATCATTATAGAAAGAAAAAAATAAGAAAGTTATATAGTGGTTCCTTCAAGTACAGCAGATTTCTTAAACTGAGAATTGTTATGAGTTATTAGTTATTTTAAATGACTAATTACAAAATATTTGAAATTCCTTTAGTCTTTGCGTTTATGGGATTGGGAGGTTGGATGGCAAGGTGCCCTGATTGTCATTTTGAATTCCTTAACTATACAATATTGTGAAAGATGCATCCCTAAAATTTATATCAATCCAAATATGGTTCATTTCAGTATTTACAATGATATGATCAACTAATTTTTGTTGTGTTCTCAAAAGTGACTTGAATATTTTGTTAAACATACATTATGCAAGAGCTAAATCTGTCTATTGCAGGTCTTTCTTTAGGCCTGAAATGTTATCTAAATTATTAATTAGACATTAATTAACTTATCCAGACCATAATCAACTCTAGATGGGATCGCTAGCCTGCGATCTTAAGTGGATTGTGAGCCGATTTACTGCATAACTTTCCTTCTCGATTAAACGATTAAATGGATAATCGAGACTATGCTGTTTATCGTACTGACTTTAGTAATGATGACCGAGGCTAGGCAGAAATTTCATTCGCTTAGTTCTTGGTTCATAGTGGATCAATTTGAATGAAATTTTCAGCAAATTGCCTTTACGTTATCTAGTTTTTAATTATTATAGTGAGAACGGCCAACTTGTTATCGAATCTCCCATAATGTATCTTTAAGTATGTGTTATTGTCTAAGAATATTTTTATTAATGATTTGACCACCAAATGACACATGGTTTCTGTCAGTATATCTGACTTCTAGAGAACCAGCAACTCAAATTATGGCCATGGTATACATTGTTCCTTTCTTGGTGTTTCCCATCTTCAATAGTGCCAGTTGGTGCAGAAAAGTAGGACGTTAAACCCCATTTCATTTCACTTCTTTCTTGGTTTATCTTCAATATTTAAACTTTTGCTGCTAGTCATACCAATTGTTGTTGTCTGAATATCTGTCTGAACATAAAACAAGCGAAGGTCACAGGTGAAGAACCCATACCCGCATCTGGAGGGCACTGCAATATCATGGCCAGAAATCTGGCTACTCGTATTCAAAAAAGGCAAACCCCCCACTAATGTTTATATATTTGTAAAATGTATATTTTCAGTGATAGAAAGGGTGTAAAATGTTTATCTATATGTAAAATGTATATCTACAGTGGTAGAATGGGTGTAAAATGTTTATCTATGTGTAAAATGTATATTTTCAGTGATAGAAAGGGTGTAAAATGTGGTGATATATCCATGACGTTTAACTCTATATATCAAGATGTATTGTGTGCTACATCTGTTGTACATGACAAAGAGGTAAATACCAGTATATCATTCTCATCTGACATATTTACAAAATCAATATTTGTCTCATCTGACTTTACACAACATCAATATTAGTCTCATCTGACTTTAGACAACATGAATATTAGTCTCATCTGACTTTACAAAACATGAATATTAGTCTCATCTGACTTTACACAACATGAATATTAGTCTCATCTGACTTTACAAAACATGAATATTAGTCTCATCTGACTTTACAAAACTTCAATGTTAGTCTCATCTGACTTTACAAAACTTCAATGTTAGTCTCAAATTATACAGGAACCACTGTGGCTCACTAACCATCAGTCTTTACAAAACATCAAAATATGGCTCATTGAATAAGGCTCTGGCATGGCTCACTAACTGGTATTTTCCAAAATGGTTTAGTCTTAAAATATACTAATTTAAACTCATTCTGTGCTGAGATTAGGGAGCCACGGTGGCTAGGTGGGTAAGGCGCTGGCTTGCTAGCCTGGAGGTCGGGTGTTCGATCCCTGCATTGGCCAAGAAAGTTCATTCCAATTTTCCGAAATGGTTTCCCCCTTGTCAGTGATGCAGGACGGAGGGCCTGACAAGGACAGCTGTCTAGTCCTTCGGATGAGACGAAAAACCGAGGTCCCGTGTAAACATTGGAATGCACGTAAAAGATCCCTTGGCAGTTGAAATTCGATATAAGAGTAGGCGATAGTGCCGCTGCCCAGGCAAAATTTCCCTCATAGCACACTGTATGGCTTATGCCCGTCTTCATTAGCCTAGTATAGGAGCAGAACAGTAGGACGTTAAACCCCATTTCATTTCATTTCAGTGGTGAGATTAGTAATTATTTCTCATGATTTCATGATACAGGAGTATAGTTTGTTTGTTTATAGCAATTCTTTCTTTTCCACCTGAGCTGGGTAAGGCACTGGCTCATTGACAAGGAGAAATTGGGTTCGATTCAGGTGTTGGCTAAGGTGCAAGATGAAATAGAGTTGAATGCTGGATAGCAAGACTTTTTGTTTGAGAGTAGTAGTAGTTGTACACAACAGTTGAACTGGCTAACAATTGAAGGGAGACAACTCTAGATTTCTTCGGCATTAATAAAGTTACTGGATTGAGTGAGATAAAGCAACTTAGCTGTGGGTTGTACACAGGCCTGACAAATTGTAGGGCACTTCTTAATACCTGCTATATCGAACTAGACTGGAAATGTAGGCCTTTTAATACTATTAGTAAAAACACAGAAAAAACCCCCAAATCTGTGTTTTGACAACATTTTGACTTCCTGACAATACTCGATTATGTGCCCGACATTTTGTCTGTGACAGTTGTCTCATTTCCAGGTTTGAACATACATAATCACTTGCTGATTCCCCGAAACAAACCCTTGTTTCATCATTCTGTCTGCTCTTTTCAGAGTTCTTGACAATTAATATGTTTAGATTAGATATAAGTTCTAAATGTTTATTTCAGGGACCATTAAAACAAGAAACAGTGAAAAATGTAGAATCTTATGTCTATAAAGATGACAGACTACCTGTTTTACTTAACAGGTAATCATTAAAAGCTTGATGTGTCATTTGCATTTTCGCTAAAATATCACAGTTGCATCCACGCTAAATTTGTTCTCAGGCGGATTAATTGATTAGGAAGACAAAATCAGAATACCAATGTTAGATAAATGAAATGAAATGGGATTTAACGTCCTACTGTTCTTTTCCGACTGGACTAATGAAGACGAGCCAATGCTAGATAATCACCCGTCTTGGATTCAGTCGGATTTAAACGAACGGTAGGCCCTTCAGCTTTTTATGCTACCAGTAGAATATGAAGCTGTCTTGTTACATAGCAAGCAGCCCATTTGCTTACATTAAGGTTTGGAACTGGATACACTTTGAGTATTTTCGGTTTACTGTCATGAGGTGTAATTTAAATTTACTCCACCTGCAGTCACAGTGCTTTAGAAATTTTCAATTCATTATATCTTTGTAAATATTGAACGGAATTAAACCATATTTGGACTGATATTCCCTTTAGAGATTCATCTTTCACAACAGTGTACTTTGCAAGGGATTCAATATCGATCAAATCGCAGACAGCAGCTTTAATTCTATTGTTTACTTTTTCCTCAGGATTCGTGATTCTGGTGCTAAGGTTTTTCTAGCTACAAACAGTGATTATAGATTTACTAATGTAAGTACATGTATTCTTTTTCACATATTACTCTTACTTTAAAGTCACTGTGCGTCATTTTCATTTTTCTGTGGGGGGTTGGATGGCCGAATGGTTAGCACGTGCGTTCTGTATCATACGTCCTGTCATTGAGTCAACTGGCGTGGTTTCGAATCCCCGGTTGTACGTGACAAGGAGTAGGGTCGCCTGTCCAACCTCGTGGGTCCTCCGGTTTCCTCCCACTGCTAAAGACCCCTACGCGCAAGCGAATTATTGAAATAAAATTTTAAAAAACATATATTAGTCCCGAAATGACCTAGTTTGTGTCAAGTGGACGTTAAACCCCATTTCTCTCTCTCTCTCTCTCATTTTTCTGAAAATATCAAATTTTCAGTGGTTTAATTTTAATCTTTCTTTGTCTTCTAATCTTTAATTGTCTTTCAAATTTTGTTATTTTCCTTTGCAGAAAATTATGAACTTTATGTTTGATTATCCACCAGAGAAGGTAAGATAGCTGCTGTCTTTTGGTAATTATTTTTGAATGTCGGAGTGATGAATATTTTTTTTTCACATTGTTTTTAGAGCTCATTTTCGAAGCCACCTGAAACTACCACTCTCTCTAGTCTGCCTGAAACCACCTGAGTTACGTGTACGTGTAAAATCACAAGGTCTGTCTTTGAGTCAAGTTTTGTCATTTTGATTCCCTGCTTAAATGTGACAAGGAGAATGGTCCTCAAATAATTCACTAATATTTATGTGACTGTGTCTGTTTAGGTGGTGGAGTGGGGTGGGGGATGGTCTAGTGGTTTAATGTGTGCATGCGAAATCACATCCTTGAGTAAGTTTTGTTGTTTCAATTCCATGCTTAAACGTGACAAGGAGTTTGGTCGCCTGTCCAACCACATGAGTTTTCTTTGGTTACTCTAGTTTCCTCCCACTGCTAAAGACCCCTCTATGCAAGCGAATTATTGAAATAAAATTGAACCATATGTTAGTCCCGAAATTAGCTAGTTTGTGTCGAGTGGACATTAAAACCCATCTCTCTCTCTCTCTCTCTCTCTCTCTCTCTCTCTCTCGATCTCTCTCTCTCTCTCTGCTTCTGTTTAGGATCTAGAGGGAGCAGTAGTTTTGGGTGGCTAAAGGGTTACAAATATATACTTTTGTTTATTTTTTTTATAAAAAAAAACAAGTTTGACTACCTCTAGAACAACTCTGTTGTTTCCACCTCAGGTTAAGATAAGGGAATCCTAGTATTTCTGTAGTAAGAAATTGATTAGCTGGTCCTGTGTAATATAAATGTTGTTTTATAGTCTGGTGGTGAGAAGAGAGATTGGACATCTTATTTTGATTATATTGTTGTGGATGCCAAGAAGCCATTATTTTTTGAAGAGGGGACAATATTAAGACGAGTGGATCGGGTAAGATTAAGTTTCTTGTCCTGACCATTTTTGAACCTGGTAGATTTCAATTATTTGTACAAGGAGACGGACGTTAGTACATCAAAGATAAAATATAAATGGATTATGGAGCTACGGTTAGCCTGGAGATCGCATGTTTGATCCCTGTATCGGCCGAAAAAGTTCATCAGGATTTTCTGACATGGTTTTCCTTTGTCAGTGGTACAGGCTGGAGGGCCTGGCAAGGGCAGCTGTCGAGTCTTTTGGATGGTATGAAAAACTGAGGTCCTGTGTATACATTGACGTGCACGTAAAAGATCCCTTGGCAGTTAGAATTCGATATAAGAGTAGGCCATAATGCAGCTGCCCGGGCAAAATTTCCCTCATGGAACACTGTATGGCGTATGCTCGTCTTCATTATCCAGTTGGAGCAGAACAGTAGGACGTTAAACCCAAATTCATTTCACAAATGGATTTTTAACCAGGAGCTGGTTATATACCCATGATAATTATCTTCTCCTAATCCTTTTTGTTATTATTCTTGGGATTACCCTCTTCAAAAAAAGCATAAGGCTCCACCAATTGGAGTACGATCAACATGTTGGTTTATTTTGGACATTTGTGCATCGATTGACGGGTTTTGATTATTAATATGATGTCACAATACCAAGATGGCTGTGATAACATCCTGCTGGGTTTCTGGTACATATAGTACTCTAGTACTCGTTAAATAAAAGATGAAATTCTTTTTTTTTTACAATACCCAATGTGATTATTATATTTTTTTTTTTTTTTCATATTTAATGTAACTATGCGTATAAACTAATAACTTTTTAAAATGAAATGAAATAGGGCTTAATGTTTTATTTTTTCCGCAACAACAAGACATATAAAAATGGGCATACACAATGCAGCATGGTATGAGGGACAGGGCCCGAGTTCACAAAGCATTCTCAGACTTACGTTAAGAATTTACTCAAAATTGTTCGTCTTATTTTAACTAAAATATAGGCCTTTATAAAACTTTTGTTGTTTGAAGGTATCAAATATATCAATAAGAAACTATATGCAAAGTTATTTGTTTCTGGATCAAAGATATTTCTCATAAACAGTGGGGGGGTTGGATGGCTGAATGGTTAGCGTGCGTGCGCTGTATCATAAAGTCTGTCATTGAGTCGACTGCCGTAGTTTCGAATCCCCGGTTGTACGTGGCAAGGAGTAGGGTCGCCTGTCCAACCTCGTGGGTTTTCTCCGGGTCCTCCGGTTTCCTCCCACTGCTAAAGACCCCTACGCGCAAGCGAATTATGTAAATAAAATTGAACCATATGTTAGTCCCGAAATGACCTAGTTTGTGTTGAGTGGACGTTAAACCCCATTTCTCTCTCTCTCATAAACAGTGATTGAAAGTTGAGTAAATTCTTAACTTAAGTCTGAGAATGCTTTGTGAACTCGGGGCCTGGACTTAAGTCTAAACTTATTTCGATTTTCCTCCTAACACACTGCATGACATATGCCTGCAGAAAACTTTTTATATAATAACTATATAGGTATACTCATAAACTTCCATGTGTTTGTTGTAGACTACTGGGAGATTACAACTTGGTACTCACACAGGACCAATTTCTTCTCAACATATCTACTCAGGAGGTTTGTTTTACATTGTTTTTCTTTCAATCTAATTAAAATATAGATCTATATTTCGTTTTGTTTTTTATACTTTCGATGGCCTACACTACATGTAGATCTAACAAGTTATAGTGGGAGTTCACGTTCTATGACATCAGGTACCAAGCAAGCGATTACGTCAGTCATTCGATTAACCAATTAGCGACCGCCATGTATTTTTTTTCTACTTTTTCTTTATTCTGATTTCTATTGCCACTAATGTCTACCAACAGTTCCGCGCAAAAAAGGTCAAACGCTCAATTCGACAGACCATTTGATTGGCTGACCACTCATTTCAAGCAGAACACGAGTTAAATAACAACGCTTCCAGATCCAAGTGTAGTCAAGACAAGTAAAATCGAAATTTTGAACCTTAAAAAGGAAACGAAATTGGATCTGTGTTTTAATCAGATTGTTTTACTTTTTAATGAGATCTTGTTAGTTATACAGTGAAGACACTGGTCACAAACTCCTGTTCAATTTGTAGTGTGAGTTACTGAGAACGGTACAATAGTTAGTTGTAAGGTTTGAAGTTGTGCTTGTGAGGCTATTACAGAAAATGTATCTTGTCATTTGGATGGTATGAAAAACCAAGATCTATGTACATTAAGGGAACCACGGAGGCTTGGTGAATATGGCGCCGACTCACTAACCATGAAATCTTCGTTTGAATCCTTTATTAGCTGGGATTTTCCCATAACGTAAGACCAATAGTATACATGGGACGGCGTTTTTCTTGTCCCATCTCAACAAATAGATGCTTTTCATTGGAAGGCCCTTCCGTCCTTCACCAGTGACACCAGAAGAACGAGTTGCAAACACAGAACCTTCTGGATAGTTAGCAGGTTACATAATTATGGAGTTACCAATACAATTATGATCATTGGCTAACGATCGTGTTTATTTTTATTTAGGATCAGTGGGCGCATTTTCTGAAGTAATGAAGTCTTATGGCAGTGAAGTCCTGTATGTAGGGGATCATATTTTTGGTGATATTTTAAAATCTAGGAAGGCTCGAGGATGGAGAACATTTTTATGTGTTCCGGAATTATCTCAGGAATTGATGGTATGGACAGATAAACGATCGTTATTTGCAAAATTAGAACAATTAGATATTGCTATTGGTGAAATGTACAAGTAAGTATGTTTTTACTACTGTAAACAAACTTTTATAAATCTATTTTTTTAAACCTTAAAGTTCTTTCTCTTGAAGTGAAAATAACAGTAGACATTTTACAGACTTGTTAATCCATGGTATAAATGATAATATGGATTATTGAGAATAATAAAAACATGACATTTGTATATGTATTTTGAATATTCAGTCGCATACAGGTTGAGGTGGGCGGTGGGGTGGGGTTTAAAAGGGCCATCATGGGGAACTGAAAATTCAGACAAGAAGGTGCTCACAGAAAGATGGAAAATGCAATCATTGAACATTCTCAGGCCTGTAGGAACGATTTTAGGATATACATGTAATATGTAACATAACCATATAAAGGAAGCCAGATTCGGGTCTGCCATTGAGTCAACTGGCATGGTTTTGATTCCCCGATTGTATGTGACAAGGAGTAGGGTCGCCTGTCCAACCTCATGGGTGTTCTCAGGATCCTCCGGTTTCCTCCCACTGCTAAAGACCCCTACACGCAAGCGAATTATTGAAAATTTTTCTAACCATATGTTAGTCCTGAAATGACCTAGTTTGTGTAGAGTGGATGGGACGGAGAAACGAGGTCTCGTGTACACATGGATGTGCACATAAAACAACCCGGCCTTGACAGTTGGAATTTCAAATAAGAGTAGGTCATAGTGCCGCTGTCCTGGCAAAATTTCTCTCATAGTATGGAATATGCCCTTCTTCATTAGCCCAGTCCGTGCAGAACTGTAGGACGTTAAACACCATTTATCTGATTTACAAAGCACATAAGGGGGAAAGAAAATGGGTATTCTTCTGTAAACCCAGTAATATTGTTAGAACACAACTCAAGCATAAAGCCAGAGCAATTTAATTTTTATGGCCTTGATTAGTAAAAAGCCACTTGGTTCACATAAACAATACTATGCTTAAAATATCAAAACCTAAACAGTCTGATCTAAGAGAAGAGCATGCAATATTCCAGTAGTTTTTTTTTGTTTTCAATTGTTGTTTTATGTCCAAGTGTATCCAAAGTCAAATTGGTCTAGCCCAAGTTCCAACTCATACCCATTCTGTGGTCTTGAAGGAATAAAAAAAAAATGCCTTGATTTTTTTTATTTTTGTTAAATTGTACTTTGAAAATCAACAGCATGTTATAAATTTGATTGGACACAGTGCTGGTGTGTATTTAGGCCAATAGAGGAATTTCTTTTTTAAATCAAACCTTGTCACTGAGATCTATTTATTGATTTTTTGCATCACAAAAGCATTTGATTTATTAATAATTATTTTTTGGGCACTTGCCATGGCTGGCCCCCAGCCCGCCTCAATTGTATACTTTTTCTTGTAGTTACAGACATATACACTCGTATGTTGTCTCAACTATGTGAACAACTCAAAAAAAAGAAAAGTAGTATCAAGAGTTCCTAAAAGATTAAACTTCCATGCACAACACATCACTATTTCAGATTTTAAATATTATTAATATTTATTTACTAGAAATTTAGATAGCAGTTGTAAAGAATCAAGACCTGAGATTGGAAAAATACATAATTCTATCAGGGTAGGTCCCTTTCTCAAATCACAATATCTAAACAGAATGACTTAAATAATATTAAGATGTATTACCAGTACTTGCATAATTTTCAATTCATAATAATATCTTTGTAGACATTCAAGGAATGGCACCATTATTAAAAGAATATATCTGAATCTGAGTATTTTTTTTTTAATTTAGGAAGTAACCCATCAGATGGATATGTCTTATGGTATTTTAGGCAGCCTTTTTAGAAGTGGTAAGTTTGTTACATCCTTTTAAAACTGGACTTCGAAATTTTAATTCTAAATATCGAGTAGATTGCTTTGAATGTATTTCAGCAACAGCAAAAGGTACAGTGAATTTGTCTAAAAAATATTGCCTTGAGGCTTAAATCTTTAAGTAGTTGTGTTGTGTTTTTTGTTTGACTTCAGTTCACACAGCTGACGTGAAGTGTATCAGTGATGGTAGCCTACTTGTATAATACAATGACTGACTATTGTACAGCTACATAGATAAAGTTATTAATAGATCTAGGTCATCATGCCACACCTCCAACCATGTGCTTCCTGAATGATTTCATAAATTATCTCCCTTATCTCCATTTCTTGTTTTAAAACATATTTTTTTTGATAATGAAAAAAGTTAATTATATAAATTTGACTTAAGATAATCAAAATGTTCTTTAAAATTTGTCATATTATACAATGAATTGAAACAAATTGTATCCAAACTATCTGATTTATTAAATGTAAAAGTTGACCCATTATTTTTAAATATCTTCAGCCATTTTAAAATTTAAACACAGTTTGATACTGGTCATTCGTGGAATAAGTTACATTAAGATCATACTGTTAGGGATCATTTCTAAAGTATGCTTCGCTTGGACGTCAGTCAAACTTGACTGGATCGTAAACCACGAGGATGATACAAAGCCTCCCCTTCTGAGCGTGAAGCGGGTTGGATGAAATTGTCAGCTCAGATGATTTCTCTAACCATTGATGACCGTTCCTCTCCTCCCTATGTGGGGAGATGGAGGTAGGGGAGGCATTCAGAGTGGTTTCTTTCTTACTAAATTAAAAGAGTTATCCCCCAAACTGTCCTAACATCTTAAGCTCCATTATTTGCCTTAAAATAATCATGTTATTGTTTGTTTTAAGTACCTTTCCTTAAATTATTGCAAGTAGGACGTTATAAGCCACCTTCCATTTCATTTAAATTATCCCATTTCTGTACCAGGGAAACAAGACAGGATTATTTTTGAACAGAAAAAAACCTGATACTTCACTGAATGTAGTGGTGTTGCCTTTTGTTTTATTGTCCCTCGCCTTTCGAAGAAAGCAGGGGACTATTAAAATGGGTTCGTCCGTCTGTCTGTCCGTCTGTCCGTCCGTCTGTCTGTCCGTCTGTCTGTCTGTCCGTCACACTTTTTGGGACACAATAACTCTCTTCCTAATTGAGCTAGAATGTTCAAACTTGGTGTATGTGTTTATTAGGTCAATGCCTTGATGGAGTTCGAAGATGAGCATTTTCCGCTTAGGGTAAGCAGAGATAAGCAATTTGATTGGTTGATGCTTTGGGACACGATAACTCTCTTCCTAATTGAGCTAGAATGTTCAAACTTGGTGTATGTGTTGATTAGGTCAATGCCTTGATGGAGTTCGAAGATGAGCATTTTCCGCTTAGGGTAAGCAGAGATAAGCAATTTGATTGGTTGATGCTTTGGGACACGATAACTTTTAATTGAGCTAGAATGTTCAAACTTGGTGTATGTGTTTATTAGGTCAATGCCTTGATGGAGTTCGAAGATGAGCATTTTCCGCTTAGGGTAAGCAGAGATAAGCAATTTGATTGGTTGATACTTTGGGGCACGATAACTCTCTTCCTAATTGAGCTAGAATGTTCAAACTTGGTGTATGTGTTGATTAGGTCAATGCCTTGATGGAGTTCGAAGATGAGCATTTTCCGCTTAGGGTAAGCAGAGATAAGCAATTTGATTGGTTGATGCTTTGGGACACGATAACTTTAGTTCTAATTAAGTGAGATTGATGAAACTTGGTGTATAGATTTATTATATGAATACCTTAACTAAGTTCGATAATGAACATTTTTTGCTGAGGGTAAGCAGAGTGATAAGCAATTTGATTGGTATAAACTTTGGAACACAATAACTCTCCTTCTAATTGAGGTAGAATGTTCAAACTTGGCATAGGTGTCTATTAGGTGAATGTTTAAACTTGATGTATATGTAGATGTTCATTAGGTGAATGTCTTGACTGAGTTCAATAATTAACATTTCGAGCTGAAGCTAAGCAGAGCTAATCGATTTCATTTGTCGATGGTTTGGGACAAGATAATCTTGATTCTATTTGATAGAGAGTGATGAAACTTAGTGAAAAAAATAAATGTGCGATTAATTAATATGTGTCATCTATTTATTTTGCAATTTCGGCGGGGGACATCAGCCTCACTGTTGGCTTGTTAAAGTATTATTATATAATAAGAGAAGTATTGTCTCGATCAATCAAAAGATGATCTTTTCCAAAGGCTTCAGTCTGGTGACTTGAGTTATATTCTCATAGCAAAGATGTACAGTATTTGGATAATTTTCAAAATACCATAGAGATATCAAACTTTCAAGGATTGGTGGGGAAAGTAAATTTTTATTTCTGAAACTATCAACTCTGTTGTCTTGGATTACCAGTAATCTCACTATTATTATCAATTATTTTATCCTTCTGAAAAACTATGGAAGTCATTTTTAGGTATATTCAGGCAAAAATACAGAAATTTGGATACACAAACCTGTGCCTTCCCAAAATCAAATTGTCCTGTGCGTCTGTGGTTCATAATTTTTCTGATCGACTGGAAAAAATTTGTTGAACTTAAAGTAGCTAAGTCTCTAACTCAATATCATCCAAAATCTTCAACACGAATTGTTTGTCAATTCAAATCAACATTGGTCTTGAGATCTTACAGGGAAAAAATGGGCTTCTGATATCCAATATTCAAGACAAAATAAACATTTTACCATTGGTACACGAATCGTGTACCATAATGCGTTTCGGCGCCATTTGGAACAAGGGACTCAAAGAACAGGGATAGACATATTCCACAAGTCATGTCAAATGGTGACGCTATATTCTTATCTGGAGAGCTTGCGCAACAAATACCATTGGTGTAGACTGGAAAAACCAGATACTAAAGATTGCCATTCACTTGAGACTTCCGGCGTATTTCGCCGAACATAACTGATTAGAAATTACAGTAAAAACAGAAACGATTGAATGTAAATCAGTTTATATACATTCAAATTACATTATTATATGCATTGCGACCCATTTTTGTCAATTTCTAGGTCCCAAATATTAGCAATTTAGCTCCTTTAATATCATTCTAGATTTTATTCTGATGTATTTTCAGGTTCCAGACAGACATTTTTTGCTAGCCAAGTGATGAGATATGCTGATCTTTACGGATCCAGTTTCTTTAATTTTATCCATTATCCCTTCTCTTACGTCTTTAGAGCGCCATCTATGCTGGTAAGTAAACAAAATTCTATCAATATTTCAAGGTTGCCTGGAAATTCAAAATACACCGATCTTTGTTTAGTGTTTCCCTTCAAGAAGCATTATGAATTAGTAAATGAAAGAAAGAGAGAGAAATGGGGTTTAACGTCCATTCAACACAAACTAGGTCATTTCGGGACTAACACATGGTGCAATTTTATTTCAATAATTCGCTTGCGTGTAGGGGTCTTTAGCAGTGGGAGGACCCGGAGAAAACCCACAAGGTTGGACAGGCGACACAACTCCTTCTCACATATAACCGAGGAATCGAAACCACGCCAGTTGACTCAATGACAGACCTTATGATACAATGTGCACATGTTAACCATTCGGCCATCCACCCCCCAACCCCACACACACTCACCCAGTTAGTAAATAAAATGTACCAACTAGTCTAAAGAAAACGGTCATAATCTATCTAAGTATGCTATAAGGGTAATTACCCAGATAGTGGCATTACTGTCTTTGAAACCCAACTGCCAGGGTTTCTTTAAAGTGTACATGGAACCTCAGTTTTTTCAAACCATCCAATATGAACAATCCTCTTGGCCATATAAAAATAATCTTGATTTTTATGTCTTGTATTTTTTAAAATTGTCAGATGTCCCATGAATCAACTGTAGAACATGACGCCATGTTGGATCCATCAGATCAGATTAGTCAGATATCACTAGCCACAAGATCTCGATCAATCTCAGAAGACAATAGTGAAGATCGCAAACGTAATCCATTACTTAGAAGTGACAGCCTTGTACCCCGTGCTTATGCTCCTACGCCCAGACAATATACACAGGTACAGGAAGACTCCGACGAGGAATAATGTCATCGCTTAAATTAATTTAGTCAGAAGTTAGTTCCCTCCTGATTATCAAGAGTTTTTATCAATAATGCTGCTGTTTTATAGCTTAGAATATGTAGAAATATTTACAATATACACAACAGGGAACAAATTATTTTATTTTATTGGCCTTTCAGTCTTATGCTCTATTATTAGTTCTTTTAGCCTACCAATATTTAAACTTGTGTAGCAATTCTTTTATTTGCTATATCACATGACATATAGTGTAGCATTGCATATCATAGACAACATTTATTTTATCTTGAATGGCAAATTCATATTTTCTCTGAACAATGTTAGAGTACTGATTTTATATTTTGTTTTGTTACTACCTCAATGAAAAAACTTTTACTGCCAGAGTCATTTGCTTTATGAATGGAATGTTGTTTAATGTCTAGTCATTTTTGAGACAAACATGGTCGTTTATATTTCCATGGTTACGGAAAACCTAGATCCATCTATGTGCACATTGGCATGCATGGAAAAAAACACTTAAACAGGGGTGGAAACTTAAGTCATGCAACTCTAACTCGAGTCTGACTTAAGTTAATTCATTGACCTGACTTGACTTGACTCGACTCAGAAACAACAGTTGTGAAAATTTGTGAGGTAAAAGAGATAAAGAATTGAGTTGCATGAGTGGACATAACTTTAACGCGTCTTATTCGCCATGAATTATTGACTCACTTGATGAAAAGGCGACTTGAATGGGACTGAAGTCAACGACTTTAGGCTCAACTAGGACTGGAGGTACGACGGCTTGGGACTCAACTCAGACTCTTAGGTCCCACGGCTTCTTCCCACCTCTGCATTTATGACATATTAAATTAGACCAGAAGTAGGCTTAAATACTACTGCTCAGGTAAAATTCTCTTACCAAGTGTTGCACATGTAATCATAGAAATATAAATTATCATGTTTGTTTCAAAATGAGTAAAATATTGTGTCGATGATTCATTAAATCCATTTTGTTTTTCTGTAAAGTTACAATGGTTTTTGAGCATAATATAAGGTTTGATCTCTCCATCATTAGTATGCACCAAGTTTAATTTAATGTTTGATTAAAATCCTGTTACTAACCTTATATTATATATTCTGTTGACACTATTTTTATTTCAATATTTGTTTGAAATATTAGTCGATGTGTATTGTTTATAACTAGTACAATGGCAGATCTAGATGGGGGCCCTAGGAACCTGGACCCTCCTTTATACCTACGGCAGACAAGCGTATTTTTTCGCCCGATCTCTGCGATTTTTAAAATCGCTTGAAAGTATCACCTATGTACCCATTCTGCTTGGTGACCATTTGCCTGAATATTTTACATATTAGATATTTCGGCATATCGGCTCGTCTGCCCATGCCCAGTATATATTGTCAAGTAAACCATTTTCATAAGCCAATCGGAGACATCATTGATATCACAAAATCTCTAAATGGCTGCCTCCACCCCCGAAGCGTGGAATTGGTCAGAAAGGCCTTGCCTGTTTGACATCACAATTCCGGAATTTTATAAGCAAATAAACAGCAACTGCTAATCTTACTTTTTTGGCGATTTGACATTTTGTACAAGTCACATGATCGATGTAATTGACTCGCAGAGTGGCTTACGCTCTCAAGACCATCACTATGTGACCGTTCGTGATCAGCCATAAAAAATTACTGCCGAATTTCAGACGCCGCAATCTGGCGAAAAAATACGCTCATTTGCCCATAGCTTAAATGATGGTAGAAAAAATGCTTGACTGGGGTTATGGGAAGATACCTTTTCTACCAAATATTATCCATCAGCTACTGAACCAGTAGATCAGGCGAAAAAATTGCTCATCTGCCCATAGAAAAAAATTCTTGACTGGGGTTATAGGAAGATACCTTGTCTACCAAATATCCATCAGCCATTGAACCAGTCGATGACAACATATGAATGCTCTTCATCATGACATATCATGTTTAGTGTGCTTGTTATTTTTCTCTTATTTATATTATATAGATAATTATATATAGATTGGTTTTTATATTATATATATATTGTTGAACCAATGGTGAATTATTTCTCAGTAATTATGTTGTTGTCAGTTCTGTTTATTTCTCATACTAGAAAATGTCAACAAGTTTTATTTTTTGATATGTATGGATATTTCAATAATTTAAGGCTATGTAGAAAATATATTCTGGTTCTTGGCTAACACTGCGTGGGTTAGAAAGGACCAGGCGACCGTTTTTTATTTTAAAAATAAAACATTGTTATTGATTACGGTACCATGCTATTTGAAATTAGTACACAGTATTTGAGAACAGCACCCGGTATTTGAGAATAGCACCTGGTATTTGAAAAAAAAATACACATTATTTGAAAATAACACAAAATAACACATGGTATTTGAAAATAACACATGGTATTTGAAATTAACACATGGTATTTGAAAATGATACCTGGTCATGGTTCGCACTCCTTGAAAACCCTGGAAAAATGAAAATGTGATTTTGAATGCTGGAAAATCCTGAAAAAACAAGATTACTCCTTGAAACTCCTGGAAAATTAACATTTGTGGTTTCGCTATACATTGTAAGATATAAAACGGAAGATAGTCATCGAATGTTTCTTCAAAAGTTCATGAGTTTGTCGCATGAAAATGTTCTTCAAGCGTCAAAAAAATACATGTAGAATTCTATACAGGGACTCCTGGAATCTGGTAAATAACTCATGGAATTTTAAGTGTTCTGTGTTGTGCACACACTGCTGGTATAACTTACTGTTCTTGTTACACTCCTCATCATAATAACTGTTATTGGCTTTGTTATACTATATTTCTTTTCTTACGTAAATTTAAGTTGGTTTATTTTTCTACATGAAACACATTATTTTCTACACAATCATGTTAAGGTGTCATGCTAATATTATATATATATTGTTACATTTACTACATATTTTGGTACTACAAAAAACTACAGGCTTCCTGGCTTTGTGTAGTGTTATGTATTCCGGTACTACAATATATTGTTATATTGTTCAATATGTTTGCTGGTACTACAGTATTCTTTATAAAACTACAGGCTTTGTGTATTGTTATCTTAAATATGTATTCCAGTATTTCAGTATACGACATCAGGTTTTCTAGCTTGGTGTATTTTTATATTGAATTTGTATTCAGGTTCTATTGTACTATTATGACTACAGGGCACAGGCTTGTTATGTTCACTGTGTTCTGGTACTACAATATACTACATTTACCAGTACTACAGTATGCTTCATTATACTACAGACTTTGTGTATTAATATATTCACTATATAGATGTATTCTGGTACTACAATATACTACAAGCTTTGTGTATTAACAAATCAGTATTCAATGGATATTTTAATACCAATATTACTATATATATACCAGTACATCTAGTTATTTCTAGTAATCTGTATCAATAGGCTTAAAAAGTTAGATAACATTTACTTACTTAGTGTACGCAATCAGATTATTTGTAATTTATTCTACGCAATCAAACTGTTTGTAATTTATTCTACGCAATCAAACTATTTGTAATTTATGGGCATAAGAATTAGAAAAATAATCAAGATATTAATTAATTTATTGTAATAATGGATGGATCTATGATGTTTTTGAGGGTTTTATTTTGACCAAAAAAGATTATTAGATATTTAGACTAATTATAATGTAGTATTGATGAGAGGGGATTTCCCCTTTGTTAATGCTAGATTACACTTGTCAAAGGGTGTCTGTATCAAAAACGGTCTAACGGCATTTACAAAGAGGAAGTCTGAATGCATTTTTATTACAATAATAATTATATTTAGAAATCTGTGCATTTATTTACCTTATTATTTATATAGGTATGTAGCGTGTGTGCAAGTCCTGTATTCTATACTAATATTTGTGACTGTCGTTTGTCTGTCTTTCTGTCTGTCTGTTCGGGGTTGGCGGCTACACTAGGTCTGCCTCTAGTCTGAAATTTGGGGTATAGGGGTAGCTCGGACCGAGGAGTAACATAGGCCAGGTGGCGTTAGTCTACCACTTCCGGTTTCGGGGTTATGACCCCCGAGCGAAGCTGGGCATTCTTCTAGTAAATATATATACTAGATTGGACTGTTAATTTTATGTGAGTAAATTATTATGAATTTTTCTGATAGATAAATTTTATGTATGGAAATGATATCCTATCTGACCTCTTCCCTAACCAGCCTGGAAAAAGTCATACTTATGTATCTGAATTTGTTATTTTAAATATTTTTATTTTTGTTAAAGCGTTTCTGGATGTTTCATATTGGTGCATATTTTTATATCTTGTTTTCAATTTTAAGCCAACATGTACAGTTCGACTGTACATGCACATCTAGCAAGTCTTATCCTTTACTAAAATAATTAAATCAATAATTTAAGTCACTATATTGCGGTTGTGGTTTAGTTTGCGGTGTGCTGTTTACCTTATATGTTTTATATAGTTAGTATTTTAATATTCATGTACTGTATAACATTATTTTAGTTAGTTTTTTTTTTTTTTAATGATGTTGGATATTTTGTGAAAGATTTAAATCCTCATATCTCTAAATTAAGACAGAACCAATTTATTTTCAATACTTGACATTTTATGATAAATAAGAAAGGAAAATCAGTGAAAGGACCAAGTACAAATTAAACTTTATAGAAACTAATATATGCAGGGATTTGGTTGCCGAATAGTTTAATGCTTGTAATCATAAGATCTGTCATTAAGTCTCTCGGCATGGTTTCGATGTGGCAAGGATTACTTTTGCCTTTTTAGACTAACATATAATCATGAAACTAACAATTCTATGATAATGAATTATTTATTCTCTTAATATAAATATATTTTTTGTATTTGTAATCTGAACTAAATAAAATACTAAATAACCCTGATTGTCTTCCCTCATTTGTTTTATCTGTTGGTAACTTTGATTTTGCAGGATAGGCAGAATGTTTTAAAGGGGTGAAGAGAACAATAACACTGGACAATAAACTATAATACATGCTTATGGAAGAGAGAGAGAAATGGGGTTTAACGTCCACTGGACACAAACTAGGTCATTTCGGGACTAACATATGGTTTAATTTTATTTCAATAATTCGCTTACGCGTAGGGGTCTTTTAGCAGTGGGAGGAAACCGGAGGACACGGAGAAAACCCACGAGGTTGGACAGGCGATCCTACTCCTTGTCACGTACAACCCGGGATTCAAAACCACGCCAGTTGACTCAATGACAGGCCTTATGATACAGTGTGCATGTGCTAACCATTCGGGCATCCAACCCCCCTACTTATGGAAGAACAATTACTGATTTATTTAGGCGACACGTTTCGAAGAGTATTCTCTCAAAGTTGCTTGAAAACGTTGAAAGAATACTCTTCGAACGTTGCCTAAATAAATCAGTAATTGTTCTTCCATAAGTATGTGTTATAGTTTATTGCTCTATCCAGTTGTTAAATGGCTCTAAAAGATCAACACTGGACAACATTCAAATTTGAGCAAAGTAGAACATTTATTCATTTTCTTTATTTTATATGGTGATATGAGGATAACGTGGTCTCAGTGATTTCTGTTCACAGCCTTTCTGAAAAAACTGGGGGCTATTAGATTGAGTTTTTCTGTTCTCCCGTTGATCTAACTTGACAAATTCATAGAAAACAACAACTCTTATCTTTGCATATATAATTAGCTTACTGCAATCTGATTGGATGGACAATCAACGCCATCTGTGGACATGAAATTGGTTTACTGCAATCTGACTGGTTGATTGTGTGAAAGACAACAACTTTACTTTCATTTTCTATGACTTTATTAAATTGCACTGCAAAAACTTTACTTACAACACATGAATTTTTTAAACACCAGGAATATACTGCCTTTATCAGCCATTTGGTTAAAGTCCAACATAAATATAAACTGTGCATATTTAATTAGTCTTTTTCAATCTGATTGCAGGTATATTCATTGAAATGGAATAACTTTACTTCTTAAGAATCAAATTTTGATAAAACTTAAAATAACATAATCTACAGGAATTTCTTTTCTTTGGTCAAATTTTTAGAAAAACTATATCTTTATTCCCAATGCAAAGATACCAACTTAATATGGACTTGTATTCACAATAACAGTATCTTAACATTTCTTACATCTGTGGTAATCGGATTGGTTGATCATTTGAAATACAATCACTGTACTTCTAGCTGAATGCGTGATTTCAATTTTGGTATATAAAAACTGTAACGGATGGCCTCCTAGTTATTTTCAAATTGTCTGACTACTGGCCCAGTAAAATTTTTCCAGGTACTCTGATTTGCGTCAATAAATGTTATCACCGGTTGTATGAGGTAGTAGATAATATCATAATTTGTTGCTAAAATGACCTATTGCATAAATTATTATTAAGACATTTATTCACATGCGTAAACTTTCTAGACCATCGCATGGCATAACTGCGATATTATGTTAATTAGACAAAGTCTTCTATATCTTTGCAAATCGTTAAAATGGAAAATAAAAACTTTGTTTATTATCGTAGCAATGGTACTTGACAATCAAGACCATTATGTTAATATAATCATTTTTCATTTTAAATTTTTAAACTATTATAGGAAGAACTGCCACTTGTTTATCTAAATCTTACATAATGTATCTTTAAATGATATAGAACCGGTATATTGTTGTATGAAGTAAGGTTATAAACAAAATATTCCAGCTCTCAGATATTCCTGTGTCACTTTGAAAGGGAAGCATGATCTGTTTTTATTCTAAAAATAAATACATTCTCATTTATTACCACATGTAGATATTTTCCCCGGTTACAGGAAGTAATTTTAAAACTTTTGAATGAATCCGAAAATGTACAGTAGGCTCAATTATCAAGTACGCAAGTCTGATAAAGTGTTGTTAAGTCATAAATAATACTGGATATGTAAACAGCATGATGAGATAAATGTAGTGGCTTGAAATGTGAGGTTTAGCCCAGTAGTAATGCTTTGACAAAATAAAAACCACCTTTTTACTTAAAAAGATTTTTCGGAAGGATTGTCTGAGAACCATTACATTTTTTTGTTTTAAAATATTATAACTGTTAATTAGGTAAATCTGGCACTGTAAACAGGTATATATTAATTACTAATTGTTAATCAATATATAATATTATAATTGTTAATTAAACATGCATTATGCAAGAGCTAAATCTGCCTATTTCAGGTCTTTCTTTAGGCCTGAAATGTTATCTAAATTATTAATTAGACATTAATTAACCTATCCAGGCCATAATCAACTCTAGATGGCAGCGCTAGCCTGCAATCTTTAGTGGATTGTAAGCCGATTTACTGCATAACTTTCCTTCTCTATTAAACAATTAAATGGATAATCGAGACTATGCTGTTTATCGTACTGACTTTAGTAATGATGATCGAGGCTAATGGGAATTTCAGTCACTTAGTTCTCGGTTAATAGTGGATCAATTTGAATGAAATTTTCACCAAATTGCCTTTACATTATCTAGTTTTTAACTATTATAGTGAGAACTGCCAACTTGTTACCGAATCTCCCATAATGTATCTTTAATATATAGTATTATAAAATATTAAAATTGCTAATTGTTAAAGATACATTATGGGAGAAGAGATAAAGAGCTGTCAGTTCTCACTATAATAGTTAAAAACCAGATAATGTAAAGGGTATTTGCTGAAAATTTCGGTCAATTTGATCGACTCTGAACCAAGAATTTAGCGACTTAATTTTCAGCCTAGCCTCGATCATCATTACTAAAGTTGGTACAATGAAAGTTGAGCAGCAAATCTGATCGTAATCCAGTAAATATCGCAGGCTAGTAATGACATCGAGAGTTATTATGGTCTGAATAAGTTAATAAATGTCTAGGTAATAATTTAGATAACATTTCAGGCCTAAAGAAAGACCTGCAATAGGCAGATTTAGGTCTTGCATAATGTAAGTAACCAGGTATATTATAATTACCAGTTGTTAATAATATATAATATATATTATAATTGCTAATTGTTAAAGATACATTATGTAAGATTTAGGTAAAGAGTTGGCCGTTCTTGCTATAATAGTTCAAAATAGATCATCCAAATGAATATATTGAAAATTTCATTCAAATTCTTTTACTCTGAGTGGAGATATTAGCATTTGAAAGTTTGACAAGATGTGTGCTATGGATGTAACCTCCATACAAGGTTGTTCAAAGCTTAGCCTTGCTTCACCATTTTTAGATTAAATCATTAAATGGCTGAACAGTTCTAATCTACATAAAATCAGACCTATCCGATGTATAATGTATGTTTAATTAATATATAATATTATAATTGCTAATTGTTGATTAGTATAGAACAGCATGATAAACAACCATCAACTTTATACATTTCATCCATACAAACTTCTACTCTATCTCCTGATATATTACTCAATAGTTTCTGAAATACAAAAATATATTCATCCATTACATTAGCAATTCATTTCAAACATACAAATATTTTGTGTATCCGTTGCTTGCCAGTCAATAATACATATCCATTACATTAGCAATTCACTTCAAACATACAAATATTTTGTGTATCTGTTGCTTGCCAGTCAATAATACATATCCATTACATTAGCAATTCATTTCAAACATACAAATATTTTGTGTATCTGTTGGTTGCCAGGCAATAACACATACACCCATGCACTAATGTATGCCTCTTTCACAGGTAATGCACTACTGTTCTAGACCAACTGAGCTAATGAAGAAGAGCATACACCATGCAGTGTGGTACGGGGGCATTTTGGACTGAAAAATGGTATTGCGACCAGCCCATATTTTGAATTCCAACTGTCAAGGTTTTTTTTATGTGCACACCTTTCACATGTAAATAAAGCATTAACTTGATAATAAACATATGGAAATCAGTACAATTTGATGGGTGTCTTCACCAGCATTAACAAAGCCTGTATTGCCTTTTGAATGATAACTTTAGTCTCCACCAGATTTTTCAAAGTGATAAAGGGCATCTTCTGCTTGCAATACATATATACATCCAATAACTAGGGTCTGTAAAGAGAGCTGGAGTCTGGACAAGACTGAACGATGGAAATGTTTGAGGACAATATACAACCATATTGCAATGGTAGTATAAAGGGAAAAAAGGGACTAATAAAGATACAAGGTCTTGTCTGTGATATCACCTTGGTGGAAGTGTATGTTAAATAAATCGCATCACACACACACGGTATAATACCATGGTTATTTTGAAACTAACATGGCTATGTGTGCAATGCAAGAGGGAGAATTCCAACCAGACAACTGTCAAGGGTGCTTTTACAGGACTCAGTTTTTGAAACCATTTGAATATCTAGGCACATTTTCCTAGTCAGAACATGGGATGAAAAATCCTAATGGTTCTTCTCTGCATGGATATTATAGATTAAAGCCACTCACCCCCTTCCACCTATCCCCCAAAAGAACAAGCATATCTCACCCTTTGAATAATACCTATGACTTACACAACTGTTACTTAGAATTTAGATGTTAATCTTCTATATTTATAGACTTTTAAAATAAATGAGCGATGTGTAAGACAATAAGGTATTTATATGTAATTAAACAAGTCGTTTAAAATAAGTAAGGCCACAACAATTTGACTTTTTGTTCTTTGGAAACACTTATTCACTTCCTATTTCTTTGGGAAAAAAAATTAATTTAAAAACAAAAAGACTTTGGTTGCTCTTATCAAAAGGCCTTTGTTCCTAATTTTTGAGCTTGGAAATTCTGAACAAAATATTGTTCACAAGACTAGCTAGAACGACTATTTATATATCAAGATGCCGAAGAACTAAAAATTATATTGGTTTGGCCTTAGGAGGCATATAAATGTGTTTTACTTTGTAATCGTGGTCGCCTAATTCTGGTTGTGTTTTATGAACAACTTTTCCATTGATATACAAGACATTGGCTGATGTATCCTTTTCTAGTTCCACATATTTATAATCAAACTTGGCCTTGTTTTTTACAGCCTGAAAATATAAAATAAACATACATATACAGGTACCCAAATTTAATTGTAGAAAGTAACTTATACCTGAAGGATGTTTATTCAGTGTAAAGGAAATGAATGTCCTACTTGTCTGCACCAATCAACAACGTCTCAGGGCACACCATATGCTTTAACATGTAGAACATATATTTGTAAATAGGTTATAAACACATCACGTTGACGTGTGCACACTATACATTATGACTTCTGTGTGTAGTTACATCGCTATGCATTACCTGGAACATTTCATTCGCTGCTGAACTACCACCAACAGCCATGACACCATCACCAAGCATGGTTGCTATGGATTTAAGATGAAGAACAGTCGGATGAACAGGAATTCCTGTTACAGGGAATTCTGGGAAGGTTTCTGCTATTGTTTTTACACCTTTTTCATTGGTTCTCGCACTGAGTCCTACTAAAATTTCTTTTCCTGAAATGAAATATAATGTATATTACCAAAATTAACACACCTAATCATATCATTGAAGTTAACCCCTTAGCATTTGGTACTAAATATTGACTACCCCAGTTCCCTGAAGAAAATTAGAGAAAAATTCATACAGGTATATCCGTGGAGAGCCTGAAACTGCCTGAATCTACTGTTCCAACTGCCTGAGTAATGTGAATAGCTCTCCATATTGTAGGGTCATGTGGGCGAGCCACAGCTACATGTATACACAAAGCTTGGGTGGATTAAGGAGCACTATATCTGACTGTTTCATGTAGTCTAGGTGTTAAAGGGTTAATTAGTAGTTTAGGAAGAAAAGCATACAAATTTAATAAATAAACACATTGGTCATTTCTAATTAAACCCCTAGACGGCGACAAATTAACCCCTTACAGGTACTTCAAGACCAACAAGAAGACTAAGTCATTAAAATCCTGCGCCCTTGGACATGTTTTGGAAGATAAAGGGATAGATAGCCGCTGTGACTGTGTTATTGGGAATCAACACCAAAATACTAGCAGTGTACATGTTACAGAGAGTATTGTATACTGAACACAAAGTGGAATTTGTTTCCAAATTATTAAATCCGAGAAATTTCTAATTTGTAAAAGGTACAGCTACTATAAAATAGCTTGAATGTTTGTATAAAGTTTCAAAAATATATCTTGAATGCTTTCTGGAATAAATATTGTATACAGTACCATAAGCTAAGTCAAATTTGTTTTCATGGAAATACAAAAATTATCAAATTCGACAAATTCCAAATTAGCAAAAGACACAACTACTATAATAGGCTGAAGTGTGTAAAAGATATCATGAACAGTTTATGAGATATGCTCCAGAAACAAAATCGGAACGGAAGGACGAACAGAGCCCATTTCAATATCCCTCCCTAACGGGGTAATAAAATGACACAAAGAACCCCTAGTACAATGCAGACAAGAATGGATCTCAATGATAGGATTGGGGTAGGAAAGTAAAAACGAAAATAACCCAGTATTCCCTAAACACCAAACTTGGCAAGACTGTATACACAGTATAAAGATTTAATCCAGGAAGCGTTTCAGGAAGAAGCTATTTATCTGAAGGCCTGTATGACCAAATGATTTATTGAAAAATATTAAGTCCCAAAATAATCTAGTTTGTGTTGGAGGACATTAAACCCCATTTCTCTCAATCGTTGTACTAACCTGTAAACAGAACATCTCCACCATCAACTGTTGCATCTTCATCTTTCATTTCAGTTATATCAAGTTGTAATTTATTCTGTAATACTTCTTTTATTGGTCCTGTCTGAGAGATTAAACAAATATAATATTTGATAACTGTGAGAGAGATTGAGAGAGTGTTTAACTCCACTGGACTAACATATAGTCCAATTTTATTTCAATAAATTGCTTGCTCATAGGGGTCTTTAGCAGTGGGAGGAAACCAGAGGATCCGGAGAAAACCCACCAGGTTGGACAGGTGACCATACTCCTTGTCACATACAACCGGGGAATCGAAACCATGCCAGTTGACTCAATGACAGACCTATTGATACAAAACACACACACTAGCCATTCAACCATCCAACCCCCATTTAGACTTCCAAGTTCCTCAATTATGTACAGTTTGCAAGCGATTCACAGTCTCTTAAATGATGATCAGTGTCATGGCTTTCATTATTATTTACCTCTCCACGTCTATTGACATGACCAAGCCGTGTGATTAGAGCCTTTTTACCAATAACAATGGCTGGATCTTCCACAAATATACAATCAGGATATTCCTCATCTGCATCTAGATCAATAACTTGTAATCCTAACTTTGTTAAAGCATCTTTATAATTATCTAATTGTTGTCTGGCTTTCACAAAATCTACTTCCTGAGTTTCATCCATTCTAATGGCCTCTTTCTCAAAACTTTTTGGCATTTTACGCATAAGAGCGTAATTATAGTTGAAGTAAGACATCCTGAAAATAAAAATGAAAACATCGATCTAATGTTTAAATCAATAAAAAGATGTAGGCCTATGAAGAGAATATCAAGAACGGATGCAAGAACAGAATAGCGGGGTGTAGTGGCAGCGTAAAGCACAGACCCAGACGAACATTATTAGCCTATCTTCAAAAGTGTTGACATAAAAGAACCCTTGACAGTTGGAATTTGATATAAGAAGAGTAAGCCATAGTGCAGCTGTCTGGGCAAAAATGTCCCTCATAGCATACCGTGTGGTGTATGGCATATACATGCCTGTCTTCATTACCCTACCTAATGAAACTGTTGGAGCTCTGTGTGTAGTAGTGAAATGGGGTTTAATTACTTTTCTGCACCGACTGGGCAAATGAGAGAGAGAGAAATGGGGGTTTAACATCCACTCGACACAAAGTAGGTCATTTCGGGACAAATACATGGTTCAATTCTATTTCAATAATTCGCTTGCGTCTAGGGGTCTTTTGCAGTGGGAGGAAACCGGAGGACCCGGAGAAAACCCACAAGGTTGGACAGGCGACCCTACTCCTTGTCACGTACAACCGGGGAATTGAAACCCCGTCAGTTGACTCAATGACAGACCGTATGATACAGCGCAGCACGCACATGCTAACCATTCGGCCATCCAACCCCCCTCTCAGGCCTCTGGGCAAATGAAGACAGGCATAGCCTAGAGCTACACATGCAATGTGCGGGAAATTAATCCCAGACAGCACCACAACGGTCTATTGTACTCTTATTTCAAATTTCAACTTATATGCCAATGTGTACACAGGATTTTTCGTGCCATCTGAACGACTAGATATAGACCTAGTTCTCTGTAAGGCCCTAATCCGTCCTGCACCTTCTGGGGAACCTGTGTATGGTGTCTTGATGTTCGAGTCTACATGGTAAATCGTCAAAAGATCTCTAAATAAGTAAAACAATAATAGACCAAACAATCTCTGCGACCATGCAAAATGGAAAATACATGGACCTTATAATGTCCATGAAAACACTAAGTGCACGAAGTGCTGAAATAGCTGCTACCGATTATATTATAATTATAATGTTGGCTACGGAGGGTACCTAATCTGTTTGCTGGCAGTAACAAATGATCTCCACAGCATTCCTTTCCTAAAAGTTTTAAGCGGTATTCAGAACACTTGTTTACATTTTTTGACAAAATCGGACTCCGTGGATAAGGGAAATAACTCGTGTATAATATAATTTTGTAGGGATCAGACCACGATTATTTAAACTACCGCCATGACTGTAGCTAGAGAGAGAGAGAGAGATGGGGTTTAACGTCCACTCGACACAAACTAGGCCATTTCGAGACTAACATATGGTTTTAATTTTATTTCAATAATTCGCTTGCGCGTAGGGGTCTTTAGCAGTGGGAGGAAACCGGAGGACCCGGAGAAAACCCACGAGGTTGGACAGGCGACCCTACTCCTTGTCACGTACAACACAGGCTATAAAATATTTTTTTACCAATAAAAATGTACAATCAGATTTTTCGGGCGGACAGGTAAAGTGAAAAAAAAAAAATTAATATAATTTTTTTGGGGTAAAAAAAAACAACCTTTCTGCCTTCTAGTCGGCAAAATAAAGTGCCCGGAATCCCCAATGTCGAACGGTAAACTTTTCCCTGGGAGCCGATGACCTTTTGGTCTGAAGTCACCCCGCGTTGTGCGACAGTTTTCGGGCATCGATCATTATTTCATTGATTTTCTGGAATCAATTTTTTTTAAGTGACTAATGGACGCCCCCAACACTCCCCGGCGTCCGTTACGCGCTGGTCCCTACTGAAATTTTTTTCGGTTATTTCTGACCCCCCCCCCCCCTTTAAGTTGATTGGCCCCGTACGCCTATGCGAAATAAATCAGATATAATCAACAGGATTCAATACAGGAGACAACGAAGATTTAAACACTAAACAAAATACTGAACAGATAAAAAAAACATTATTTTCATTTTTGTGTGGACCACGGTGGTTCATACCGGTGTTGGCCGAGAAAGTTCATCGGGATTTTCCGGCGTGGTTCCCCTTTGTAAGTGGTGCAGGACGGTGAGCTAAGCAAGGCAGAACGTTTAATCGTTCGGATGGGACAAAATACCACGACCCCGTGAAAACATTGGCGTGCACGTAAATGAGCCCGTGAGAGTTGGAATTTGATATAAGAGTAGGCCGTAGTACCGCTGTCCGGGCAAAATTTCCCTCATAGTACACAATATGGCGTATGCCCGTCTTCATTAGCCCAGTCGGAGCAGAACAGTAGGACCTTAAACCCCGAACAACTACACACTTTGCTTGTCCACCCAAAAGCGTACACCCCCCCCCCCCCAAAAAAAAAACCCAGAAAAAAAAAACAAAACGAAAAAACAAACAAAATACGTCTGTGCTCACCCAAATTACTTTTAATTGTATATGGACCTGGCGTATATAATATCAAGCTAAATTGATAAGTTTCCCGCCAAAATAATGAGATAAAACACGTGGAGGGCATCACGTGATCAGGGTGCTGAACTTTCATGAAAATAAAACCAGCTCTGACTCTAGTGATGAATTGGTGTTCTGTTCTCCTGTTTACATGCTGCGTGGCAAGGCAGGATTCTAAATGGCAGTGCTAGTACTCGGCTGTTAGATAGCCTGATGTACTTTAGTGGCAGCGATGGCTAGAATTTAAGTGCTTCAGATAGCGCACGAGTTTGGTACTCGGTGCCAGAAAACATAGTACTCCCGGCCAGCATGCTGTCAACATTTCAATGCCAGCATCTATTGCAAGAAATTCTGCAATGAAGTTTTCGATTTTCGATTCCAAATTTTTAATGAAATGAATCCTCTACACTGCTCTAATTTTGCTGATTCAGCCATTATGAAAAAGTGAGTAAATCTTTTGTTCTAATTTTATGAGATGTTGTTTAGGCTATTGCTGCGTTTAATTACTTACTGGTTACTTGTATGAAATAATAGGGTTTAACTCCTACTTTCTGTTCCAAAAAGATTATAATGTCATAGACATTTTAAAAAAAAAATCAGATTCCATATCAGAAATGTTAAACTTTTTTTCCGAATTTTTACTGCTTTTTAACCAAACATTTGGACCTTTGAGATCTTGGCACATTGGTAAAAAAATGATTTTTTTTTTTAACTTGACAATATCATGATCGGGACTATTGATTTGGCGGGGACCCAGGTTCACAGTCAATTTAAGGCCCGTTAACGATTATTAAAAATTACCATATTTAAAGTAGATATGATAAATTGTATTGCATAAAAATGCCCAGGGAGCAGCATACAATCACGTAAATCACATTATTACAACAAATATAATACACAACAAACAGTAGCCAAATCTCTAACTCAATATTAGCCATAATCTTTGACATTAAAAACACCAATTAGAATTTAATAGTTCAATCAATATTGATGTTGTTATAATACCTGAAAATATATCTAATAATTAAGACACAATGAACATTTTTAAATCGGCCTGTGGCCTTGTTTTCTCTGGGCTCTCAAACACCATTTGTAATGACATTTCAGGTCAATGCAGAAGTGAAATGGTCAAACGGTACTCCTCTTGTAGACTGGACTTACCAGACCCAAGTGACTACTAATGTATTTTGCCAAACATAACCGATTAAAAATTACAATAAAAATTTTAAAATTGAAAGTAAATCAATTTATATTCAGTTATATGTGCTTACAGTACTATGTGCTTTTCAACCCATTTTCGGCCATATCTAGGTTCTAAAGAATACAGGTTTAGCTCCTTTAAAAGAATGTAGCAGATTTGTATCCAGGGACTCTAATCTAATTCAGTATAAAGGCTGCTCCCTTATTAAGACCAATTTAAATCAGTCCCGCAACGGGTCTTAATGATGTGATTTCATTAGGGTATATCTGGTTTCTTAATTTACACAAACAGAAATTTATATAAAGATTCTTTCTGACCTTTGTATTGCTGGTGTCCAGAAGTTGAATATTTTGGTTTATTCATGGCAACATTGGTGTGGAATTTGTGATCGGAGGTGTTAAAATATTGATTAAATATAAATGAACTCCTAGCATTAATATTCTATTAGTTCTGTACTAGGGAATGAAGGGAATTCTAATGATAAAATATTTATGGAATGAATCAACTGTACAAAGAATTTGTAGAAATTACAGAGATTAAAGATACATAATTAAAGTGCCGGCAAGCCAGACAAATTTAATTTTAAGTTCTTCAGCTGTTTATAAACGGAGAAATTTGGGAACTCCAACCTGGGTCCTATTCTCCCCCCCCCCTCAAAAAAATTCCAATAAACCTGGAAACCTGCATGTCTACATTCTCTCTAGATTAGATATTTCTAAGTTTCTAGACCTGCATAACTAGCTTATATTTCTTTCTGTATGATGTTATTGCATATAAGTATTATTAGCTAGGTGTCGATCTGTTTTCCATATTCATATTATATTCTGACACATGTAATGAAATAATAGAAGCCATTGTAGTGCTTGACATTTCCGCTAAATTCTGTGTTATTCGAGTTTATATTGAGGAAAAGCCATAAAAATTGTTTGTGTTGATACTAATTAAACCAGAATATCAGGCGCTCAGTGCCGGACTGGGCCAACCTGTCCATGACAGGTGGGCCTAAGCTCATTAAAAAAAGTGGGCCTAAGCCTATAAAGAAAAAATAAAAAATAAAAAAAAGAAAAAAAGAAAAGAGAAAGAAAGGAGAGGGGGAGGAAAGAAAAGAAAGAAGGACAGAGAGGACAGGACACATGACAGGAGAAAAAAAAATTGCCCTTCTTCTGCTTTGGTCTGAAATGCTTGGAAAATGGGTTTGCGGTTGTCAATTTTCAAAGTGGGCCTAAGCCTATAAAGAAAAAAGAAAAAAAAGAAAGAAAAAAAGAAAAGAGAAAGAAAGGAGAGGGGGAGGAAAGAAGGAAGGAGAGGACAGGACACATTTGCCTTCTTCTGCTTTGGTCTGAAATGCTTGGAAAATGGGTTTCCCGACCACCCTCGGACATTCGCGTGCCTTCAGCGTGCTCATGACGTGCCTTCGGCGTTGTGTGGGCCTTGGTCAATGACCTGACAGGTAGGCCTTCGGCCCACCAGTCCGGCACTGCAGGCGCTTGTTCAGAGGCTGGGTCTTAGGGGTCCTGACCCCCTCCCCCTGCTTGTATAGAATATATTGTTTTTCTTACATTCAATGAAATAACATCTAACAAGCAAATGTGTGAAGCATGGTCGCCATTTTGGCCTCACTCCACTTCATTCCAATACATATAAATGTATGCACCTAAATGATCAGAAATATTGTCTCAGACCTTCTGATTTTAAAACAATTCTCAGGAAACCCACGTCACCCCTGGTCAAATTCCTGAACACTCCCCAGATACGTCTGCTGAACACTCCTCAGATACGTCTGTTTGTTGGTGGATCTTTCTTACTAGATTGTTCAACTTGATTTCCACAATAAATATAATGTTTCAACTACAGACATCTTTAATTCTTCTCTTTCATCAGAAAATATACAAGGCAGATTCTGGAATTTGAAAAGGGTTGGGTAGGTGCCCAGAAAAAAAAAATAAAATGGGATTCAAGTTCTTACTTTTCTGCCCCAACTGAACTAATGAAGATGTGCATACTCCATGCACTGTGCTAGGGGGGAATTTTGTCCAAATTTTGATTTTGAAATTTATTTTGGTTTTCCGTACTACCGAATGACTATACATTTTTCCTTGCCAGGCTGTCAATTCTGCACTACTGACAAGGGAAAACAGGACCTCCTAGCAAGCCATGCCATGCTCACCAAACCACCATAGCCAGAGTGGACTACCCCTCACCTCAATTCACCACCCCTCTAAAGCACATGCTGGCCATGACCAGCTAGATTATTTCTTTTCCAATGGTATACACACGTTTTTAGTCCCATCCGAAAAACAAGATGCTTTTCATTGCAAGGCTATTAATCCTGCATTAACGACAAGGGGAAACCAGGGGCCTTTTTCACAAAATTTTAACTAAGATAAAATACAAATTTTAGTAATTTAATTGGATAATATTAGATTGATTTTAGTGTCTAGCCAATAAAAATTGAATATCTACTAAAATTTGGATTTTATCTTTAGTTAAGATTTCGAGAAACGGGGCCCAGACTGGAAAATCAAAATTTGTCAGCCAAAATTGAAACTTCCTGATTAGCCAGTCAGCTGCATACTTCCATTTTTCATTGTTCTTATGAGTGATATTTGTTTTATGTACATTTATTGGCCTAATAATTACGGTATTTAAATATCAAGTCTACATAATATACCTATTATCTACTTATCAAATACCAGTCATTGTTTCAAACACTCATTTAATAAATACATTCAAATTATTACCACAGTTGGCTTTTAAGTAGGGCCGTAGCTACAAGCTATATTAAGAGCGGGATTCAGTGAAATAAGAAAGAAAGAACAGGAAATTTAAGAATTTTTTATATTCCATTAGATGATGTTTCAACGATTGTGAATCAAATTGCCATCCTTTGTTTCTGTTATGGTGGATTTTCTGTTTGGTATTCAGTATTATTTTAAAAGCGTGAATTTTTAAATCAAATTTTAACCCTCTAGTTGTTTTTAGGAATTGTGAACATCCATTTTTTAAACGTCAAAAGCTTAAGTTTGAAGCTTTGTTTTATTTCTTTGTTTATTTAATGAGATTTAAGAGTTTAAAAGTGACTAGACTGCATAAAGTAAATAATAATATATTTTAAACTAAACTATTAAAGAATAGACTAATTCAAGAGTTAAAATATATTATAAGTAACACAAATACAACAGTAAACTGGTACAAAAGATGAAATAGGTAAAACGGTGAGGATGAGAATACCTGTGTGAAATAAGTAAAGTGATGAAGATAAAAAATATCTATACGAGTTGGAGAAAAAGGAAATGTTTCACCTGTGTTTAGACAATAGCTACGGCCCTGCTTCAGGTGTGGAGATATTCTGCTTTAAACAGGATTTATAGTAAAATCAGGTATGGCACCATAGTATTAACAAATTCTAGTCTTAACAGAAGATTTGTGTAACTTCTGCTCTGTCTAGCTTGTGTTACAATCATAAAATAAAACCATTTTTAGAAGCTCGCATCATCATTTGAGGGATAAAATTTAGGTGGAAAGGAAACATCTGATTCACATTTCTAAATGTCTAAATTTTTCCTGAAGACCCACATTTTAAGAAAAATGCAGTTATCTTTTGGAAAATGCCTTGGTCTTTGGCTCATTGTACTGCATGAGGTTTTACCTGTTATATTTCAAGACAGGTGTTTATATTATTAGACAAATGAAATTGGGTTTATCATCCTACTTTTCTGCTCCATCCGGACTAATGAAGACATGAAAACATCATGCAGTGTACTATGAGGGGAATTTTGCCCAAACTTCAGTGCTACAGCCTACTTTTATTTCTAATTCCAACTGTTAAGGGTTCACCCATGTGTACACAACGCCTTGGTTTTTCATCCCATCTGAATGACTAGACACTATTCCTTGCCAGGCTTTCCGTCTTGCACAATTAACAAGGGGAAACCTCAAGGAAAATCACAACCAACACCAGGATCGAGCCTGGTATCTTGATGTTAGAGAGCGAGCGCATAACCCACTGAGTCACGACTATTCAACAGGTGTTCATATGATTAGATAGGTGTATATAGGTATAATAGATATATTCTGAGTTTTACATATAAAACATCTGTTATATACTTTACTATGATATAATCTACAGGTGATGACTTTACCTGTTGAAATATATCAAAAAACATTTTACTTCATTTATCTTCTATCAGTGCAACAGTAACGCCCTTTGATAGGAAGAAAAAATTTAAATCCTTTTAAAATGGGAAAATTATCTCGAGTTATACAGTGCAGTGTTTTCAAACTAGCAATTTCAATTGAAAAATTCTATATTTTTGTGGAGAAATCTGTTTGTACATTAGGCTGAGTGAATGGAGCTGTGAAAAGTGGTTGTATTTTATCACTGTCGTTTGATGTCCAGTTGCTTGTGGAAATTCTAAAGGCTAGTTATTATCCAATTGACTTGAAATTTATGCAAAAAATATTGGTTCCCGATTTGATAAAGCCTATTGATTTATGTTTGTGTTAGCTCTAGGACAAGAAGCCTGTTAAATTTTAATTATTTCATATAATTTCTCCATGGGCCCTTGATCAGTTTTCGGTACACATTCATATTATCGCCAAGAGAATAAAATGTGACAGCCTTTATGGATTGTTTGAATGACTTAGCTACTGGGGTATATGTTTCATTAACTTTCATTGCCTGGCAAACTATCTTTTATATGTACCCCTTTTCAACCTTCAAAATATCTGTATCTATGACTATGTCAAGAATCAGCCTGTAGATTCCTGATTCTATCTAACTATTCCTGAGAACGGTATGTGAAAGTTGAAGGACTAATGTATATCCACCTGGTGTGTATCTGATACTAACATGCTGTTATGGTATTTATACATCAGCTCACATGATAGTTTGATGGGCGTTTGATATTTACTCTGAAGATGTTTTATATCTGGATTCAGACCAGCAATTTTTATATCTAACTTTTCCGGCAATATTAAGTGCAATGTACAACATGTGGTCTGCAAACGCTACTTGATATATTATGGCATATTCAAGGGTGCTTAAAGCATTATATAATTATAAATCATGATAGTACTTGGGGCACCGTTGGATTGCTTAATTTTATTCTGATAGAGAGATATGGTTTAGTATTTGCCCAACACAAATAAGCATAGTCGTATGGGGAAATTTTTGACTGGGGGGGGGGGGGGCGGTGGTGGTTGGTGTCCAAAAAATGTAGTTAGGTTCTTAGTATGTTACATAATAATAATAAATTCGCTGTTAAATTGGACACATTCAAGAATACAATATTTTTTTTATACAACTTTTACAAAGTACAATTGTGTGCCCAAATTTTCCCGCTCCCAGCCCCCCCCCCCAGCTCATACGACTATGCAATTGAGGCTATTTTGAGACTAACATATGGTAACTCTTTATTCAATAATTCCTTTGAGCAACAGGTCTTTAGCAGTTGGAGGAAACATGAAACCACAGAGAAAACCCTTTAGGTTAGGCAGGTACCCCTACTCATTTAATGTACCAGTACAAGCCTTGGGTCAAAACTCATGGACAGTCTGTAAAGCACACAGATTAGATAAATCGGCCACCCACCTGTCTTGAGATATTATAATAAAGGTAACAGAAAGCACAACAGCTTGTTTCGTGGTATTACCATTATAAAATGAGGTTAGATATCCTAAAGCAGTTAGAGGCAGAAATGCTGCTATTCAGGGCAACATTATCCCCTTCAATTTACATACATAACACATAGAGATAAAAAAAATTTCTTACATAACACATGAAAATAAAATAGATTATCATATATCAGTCTCAAATTTCTTACATACATAACGCATATAAATAAAATAAATTACCATATGTCTCAAATTTCTTACCTACATAACACATAAAAATAAAATAGATTACCATATGTCTCAAATTTCTTACCTACATAACACATAAAAATAAAATATATTACCATATGTTAGTCTCACATTTCTTACATACATAACACATAAAAATAAAATATATTACCATATGTAATATGTAAGTAAGGGAGATCCCTGGTTTGTCAGCATTAACTAAGCATTGTTGTCTACATGTAAAAATTGTTGTGTCATATTTTCATTTTTTATCATAGCTTGATAATGACTAGAGAAGCCTAGTCGAAACGTCGCTCAGTAAAAAGCAGTAATTGTATTCCATAGAATTGTGACCTGTATACCATATGTTAGTCTCAAATTTGTCCTCTTTGAATTACATATGTAACACATAGAAATAAAATACATTACCATATGTTAGTCTCAAAATTATCCCCATTAAGAATAATAATATGTTTGTTTTTAAAAAAATTGTCAAGAAATAAGGAGCAAACGATTTTAAAACAGATGTTTCTGAAGAAATACAATGTAACTTGTTGTGGCCTTAATGTTCAAAGATCTGTTAGATGAATTCTGAAATTTTTTCTAATGATTATTTACCAGAAAATATAGATATTTATCAGAGTTTTTTTGTTCCAGATGAGCAGAAGACCATCAGGTAAAGAAGACAGGTTAACGGTGGTTTTAACAGAAACCAGAAACTATATAAAGATGGTGGAAGTAATAATGGTACCTGTCTTCATAAAGATGTTATTTCGATCCTGATGATAAGTTAGAAACCTGACCAGAGATAATGGTCAAACAGTGAAAGAGAAAAAAAGCCACAACGCTTTACTAATGATCTGACGTGAAGTAAAACAGATCATATTTTCGTTAAAGTTGTATGTGAGCAGCATCAGTAACAAAAGTAAGTCAATAGTTTAAAAAAAAAAAAATTCATTTGGTTTGAAAAATTGTAACTGAAATGACTTTTCTGCACCAAATTGGCTAATAAAGACAGTTAATGTCACATAGTCTGCTATGAGTGAATTTTGTCCTGGCAGTGACGCTACAGCCTATGCTTATAATATAGAGAAAGAGAGAGAGATAAATGGGGTTTAACGTCCACTTGACACAAGCTAGGTCATTTTAGGACTAACACATGGTTCAATTTTATTTCTATAATTCGCTTGAGCGTACGGGTCTTTAGCAGTGGGAGGAAACTGGAGGACCCAGAGAAAACCCACGAGCTTGGACAGGCGAATCTACTCCTTGTTACGTACAACCGGGGATTCAAAACCACGCCAGTTGACTCAATGACAGACCTTATGGTGGTAGGTTAGATCTTTATGCAAGAAAGACTTTCATGTAATTGGGTCATTTAAATTAATGAAATAGTGTCATTTGTACTGCTTACACTTATTGCTTACATTTATTTTGATTTGCAAGTGTCAGGGGATATTGGTTTTTCATACCATTCAAATAACTAGACACTTTTTCTTACCAGGCCCTACATCCCGCACAAGACACCTGACTGGGATCTAAGTTAGGACCTACTGGTTAGTGAGCCAGCGTCATACTCACTGAGCCATCGTGATTCTCTTCATTAAATAAAAGAACCGCTTTCACATTTGTTTTTTGTCCCCTCTCCGGACCTTTTTTATATTTGATTTAAATTTAATTTAATATTTATTATTTTTCTTTCAGCTCTTTCAAGATGGCTTCCAGTCCTAGGAGACTTGAAAGACAAAATAGTGAGGGCTCAGCAGAGAGTCTGAAAACATTGAACGCAGATTTGCGCAATCATTTAGCCAGACTGCGAACACAACTTGAATATCAGAAAGGCGATATTAAACAGGCTCATTGGCAGCGAGTGTTAAATGTGAGAACTGTCAGAGAAATAGAACAACAAAAATGTTCTAGAGCCCTCGAACAATTAAAATTTAAACTGGAAGTAGAGAAACAGCGAGAGTTGGAGAACTTGAAAGTTTCTCTACTGAGCAGACACGAAGGAGAGTTACTAAAAATAACTCGTCAAAGGGACGCGGAAGCCGGAAAATTAAAACAGGAACTGGACTTGAAGGAGAGAATGCTGCGTAAATTACTTGGTGAAAATCGACGAGGGTCGTTGAATCTGAATATTTTCGCCAAGAGAAATAAACTGATGAATGAGCTGGCTGATTTACGAACAAGTAAAAAAGAGCTTGAAGAATCTCTTGAATATGCAAATGAAGCAGAACGTCACCACAACTTACATGTGAAGAAAACAGCAGAAAGCTGTGAATATGAAGTACAGAAAGTTCAAAGAGAAGCTCATATGGAAATCAAACAATTGGTAAGTAAATATTACTTTATGTGTGTACGGGATCAGGGGATTTTTTGTAAAAAAAAATAAATGAAGAAGTGTGGCAATATCGATGATTTCAAGTGAAAATCACATGATTTAGGTACTATTTGACAGATGGAAAATAGCATATTCCCGTAAAGATCAAACTTGTAAAACAAAACACAAGGAGTTCACATCCCAAAACTTATCTAATGTATGAGGAAATTCAAACAATTGCTTACGCCTAGGGGGTGACAATCACCCCATACTCCCTAAGCCCAAAGTTCTTCAGATTCCTATTTGTATTTTGGTGAGGTGTAGGGGTTCTGGAGGAACAGTTTCATCACCAGACACACGATTTAGGAGGACACACCCAAAAGTCAATTAAATATGTTTTCTTTGAAGGATATACTGATAATGAGATTCTTGAAGATTCTTGTTTGAATTAGACCAGTGTGTTCCGTGGAATAAATTTGCCAAATTTCTGTGACCGCCATTAGGACACACCAATTTGATTGTCTGTTCTTCGGAAACACCTGTTTAAATTTGACTTCTTATTTCTTTGAGAAATAGACTTATTTAAAAAACAAAAGTATTTGGTTGTGTTGTTTAAAAGTGGCTGCTTATTTATCTAGAAGAACTGAAAATTAAATTGGTTTGGCCATTCCAAATTTTTAGTTGCCTAAATATTGTACCCCTTACACCACTGTATTATTTCTGTAAAGCTATGCAGAGCTAAGCAATTTCATTGGTCGATGCTTTGGGACAAGATAACTCTGAATCTAACTCAGACAGAGTGATGAAACTTAGTGTATAGTTCCACTACCAGGCACTTCAAACACTTGACTGAGTTTAATGGTGAATATTTTCTACTTAGACCAACTATAGATTATCAGTTTGATTGCTCGATTCTGTTCAAAAAGATAAATATGGAATTAATTAGTATGTAAACTATAACACATACTTATGGAAAAACAGCTACTTGTTTATTTGGGCGACGTTTCGAAGAGTATTCTCTCAACGTTATCAAGCTGTTTTTTCCATAAGTACATGTTATAGTTTATTGCTCTATCCAGTTACTATATGCCTCTCAAAGATTATTATTAGTATGTGTTATCTATTTATTATGGGATTACGATGGGGGACATCAGCCTTAATGTTGACTTGTTTCTGTTGTTTTAATACTCTACATACAGGAGGTTTTATATAATAAGTAGTTTCAACGAGAAAGGTTTGTAGTTGAACTAATCTAGCTTTCAACAATGAAGATCCCTCACGAAGTTAAATTATTAAAAAGCAATGATGTGTTTGAACTGAAAGCTGCTTAAAGTAGCTAAGTCCGTAACCCAATATCCTCCAAAACCTTCGACATTGAAAACACAATTTTTTTTTGCAATTTAAATCAACATTGGTGTGGTGATCTTACCTGGAAAATATGGGCTTCTGATATCCAATATTTCAGACAAAATAAACATTTTACCATTGGTACACGAATCGTGTACCATAATGCGTTTCAGTGCAATTTGTAACAAGGTGCTCAAAGAATGAGGCTAGACATATATTTCACATGTCATATCAAACGGTAATGCCATATTCTTATTTGTAGAGCAGGCACAATAAATACTATCGATGTTGACTGGAATAACCAGACGCTAGAAACTGACTTTCGGTTGAGACTTCTGGCGTATATCGCCGAACATAACTGATGACAATTCACAGTAAAACAGAAACGATTGAATGTAAAACAGTTTATATAAATTCCTATTATATTATTATATGTGTTGCGACCCATTTGGGCCAATTTCTAGCTCCAAAATATTACCGATTTAGCTCCTTTAGGTAGTGAGACCACCCCTCCCCCCTCCCACCTCCCTCCTCTCACAATACATTTAAGATATAAAGTAATATACCCCTGATGACTGTCTTTCATCTATATCTATTTGCACACCTGCATCTTTAAAGGTAGGTACATATGAATTCCACCTGTGATCTTTACTTTGTTTTCTGACTGCTAACAGTAATGAGACCCCCATGACTAGCTTAATAACGTCTTCATATTATTCCTGGAAGTTGTACTAAACGTACATGTCTTGTAACTGCCCATTTGGTTAGTTATGGCTTTTATTTGTCGACAGACGCCTGCTATTTTTGAAAGGTATGCAGAAATTCTTTGCAGATGGCATTATTGTTTATTTACTTCTAAGAGAATGAAATATGGCAACCAATATCATGCTTATAACCCTTTTCATCTCTTCCAAATAATTACTGAATTATCAGCTATAATAATGTCTTTATACCTGCCAACATTGTCAGACTTAATTATATTACTATAGAATAACGACCATTCCTAGATAAATTGGTTTCCCAATGACACCAGTTCTTGCCCTTAAACCTCGGATTCAATGATGTAGAAAATATTAACTACAATGGATGTAGGGGCAACCGGGCAAGTCCAGGAATTTGAGCAACAAGAGGATTCTAACGTGGAGACAAGGTCAAGTTTGATGGGAGGTTTGGAGGATTACCAAAGAATTTGATAAAATCAGGAGCTCTTAGACAATATTGCAGCTCATTTAGATGTATACGATTAGAGTGGAGGGAGGTCAAAACGGCAGCAATATGTTTCACACTTTTGTTTCTTAGACATTATTTTGATGAAGGGGGGTTGGATGGCCGAATGGTTAGCACATGCACGATGTATTGTGAGGTCTGTCATTTAGTCAACTGGCGTAGATTCGATTTCTAGGTTGTAGGGGACAAGGAATAGGGTCGTCTGTCCAACCTCGAGATTTTTTTTCCGGGTCCTCCGGTTTTCTCCCACTGCTAAAGACCCCCACACGCAAGCGAATTATTGAAATAAAATTAAACCGTGTGTTGGGCCCGAAATGACCTAGTTTGTGTCGAGTGGACGTTAAAATCAATTTCTCTCTCTCTCTCTCTCACTTTGATGAATGTCGGAGAAAAAAACCCAGGACCCCTCAACCCCACCCCTTGGATGAAGGATGATGGTTGCCTTACTTATGTTGGTTGCCTTACCCTCATGCTTTGGGGAGCAATTTATGGTGGTCAACATTTTTTTGCCACAAAAATAGCCTATATTTGAAATTTTGTTCAAAATTGTGAAACCCCAAAATGTAATTTCAAGATGGTGAAAGTCATTCTGAACATTAATAGTTAATTAAAACTAGTGATGAAAGATGGATGTAGAAGAAATAAGGAAGAATGCTGAGCTTTAGTGTATTAAACAAGTGATGAAAGATGGATGGTAGAAGAAATATGATGAGATTTAGGATAAAAGAATTTGACGGTTCAGTGTTAAAATCATGTGTGTATTTATTGACAGATCTTGTTATTATACGAACTGACAGAATGTATTAATTCTTTTCCATCAAAGCATTTTCTCACAAATAGAGCCAGTTATACATAAAACAACTATTCTCTGATAAAATTATGGACATAATTGGTTGAATACCATGAAGATAGTTTGGAGAGATACCCTTCAGCCATTAGTCGCAAGCTCCAGCATTGTAGTTTTGATGTCTGTGTACATGCTAAGAATATTTTATGTTATTTGCCTCAGGATTATATCCTAAAAAAACAAGAAGAATGTCAAAACTTTGCTGGAGGAAAATGTCATTGATACTTTTATGTGATGTCGGCCGACAAGGGGGTTAGAAATTTTAGCCCTTTCAACAAGTGTTCCTGATGAACTTAAATTCAAACAGGTGTATCCAAATGGATCTTTATTCACATTACAAATCTGTGAATACCTAACTCACTTAATTCTTGTTGGTGGGGGTGGGTGGTCGAATGGTTTAATGTGTGCACTTTAGATCATTAGGAGGGCCTGACAAGGACAGCTGTCTAGTCGTTCGGATGGGACGAAAAACCGAGGTCCCGTGTACACATTGGCGTGCACACTGTATGGCGTATGCCCGTCTTCATTAACCCAGTTTAAGAGCTGAACAGAAGGACGTTAAACCCCATTTCATTTCATTTCATTTTAGATCATTAGGTCTGTCATTGAGTTTATTAGCGTGATTTGATTCCTAGCTTGTAAGTGTGTCCTCTCTAGATGCTACAGTTTCCTCCAACTGCTAAAGACCACAACGCAGAAGCGAATTATTGAAATAAAATTGAACCTTATGACATAGTTTGTGTCAGCGGATGTTTAACTCTCACCCTCTCTTACTGTGGTATCTTATATCTTAGTTTATCTTATCCATGAAAAAAGAACATGCATCATTAAGAGAAATTAATGGGTTTTTTGAGTTAATAGAATCACAAAAAATGTTTAAAATTAAAAACAAGAAAAGTTGGCACAAGAAATTGGCATGTGTTTCCCTGGGTTTTAAGTTTTACATTCAATAATCTGTTAATTCAGTGTGAAATTTCTAGAAATCTTAAATTAAGAACCAACTGTTGGCAGGTATATTACTTGTACGACAACAGGGGATACAGATAAAGTCTGGATTTAATAGAAGTTTATTATCTTTTCCCTATTATTTAACAATGAGTCATTGGTAGCAACAGCCAGAACTATTAAAAGGGTGTTTAGTGATAATAACCATGTGCAATTTTCAGGGAATGTAGCTCGCCGACCTTTGTTCTCTAAGTATTGTGTGTTCTCTAAGTATCAGAAATGAATACAAAGTCTTGGCATGGATCTTCAACACTTTATTTCAGGAGCAAATAACAGAAACATTTAAACAACTTGTAATTTCCTATAAATCGGACTTCCAACTAGTATATAGGTTCTCTTATTTTATATAAATTAGTTACTATAAAAGGTGTTGACATAAACATATAGCTATTGAAGGATTAAGTCTTAAGGCATTTAAAACAATAGTTAGAAGAAACTTAACATATCAACCATTTTAATTGCCAGCCTATAAAAATTTTAATAGATTGACAGATTAATTGGTGTCTGCTTCTAATGACTAACCAAACGTTAATGAATATTAATATATAGATCCAAAATTAAAAACAGAATTAAAAAAATAATAAAA